CCCTGAGTTGCAAATGAAGCGCTCCTCCTAGGGTGTTGCCAACTTGGCGACTTTGACGCTATTTCTAACAGCTTTTTAGACCCCCTTCTTGACTTTTTAAATCTTACAATTACCTAGCGAACACCTCAGAAACATCTCTGGTAACCCTTAGCTACTTTCTGGATAACTGTCGTCGACGTTTCCTGCAGGTTAGCTAAACACTCCGGACCGTTCTTCAGGACATTAGGAAAGGGAATGATGTAGTGATGTGTCGGTCGCTACTGAAACAGCTCTCGGAGCCGGCTCCTTGTTGGATTAACCAGAGTGAGTGACACACACACCGTACCTGCGGACTCCTGAGCCCCTAAAAACGGCTAAATGTGCATGTGCGGTGCGCTAAACACACATGCAGCTTGCCCCGATTGCTGTGAGACCGGGTTGGGCGGTGGGGGGTGCAGCTGTGGTTGGGACAATTATTACATTAACTGATGGACTTGTAAATAAATAGTTTATAAATAAGGTAGAAATAACTTCCTCACGCTGATAAATAATGACTAATCTCTCTGAGGACACGGTGCTAGTGCACTCTCCTCCTCTCCACAACTAAATAAATATTATGCAACATTTTGTGAACATCAATTTATTTGCATGAATTTGTTATAAATGCCACTGTATAATTCTTGCTGTCAGTCTTTGCAAGATATTGGTATTTGGGTCTGTACTGGTTAGACTTAAATGAGTTAAACCAAGGTCTATATTCCTTGGGTCATTAACTATGAGCTATAAGTATATTGGTCTTTTTATACTGGAAATCAGGAGTTATTTTAGTGATCATCTTGTTTCTTATTTATTTTTGTTCTGATTGTGCCCTGAGCAGTTTTATGATGGAATAAAAACAAATAAAATCAACATAAATAGAAAAATCGCCCTAAATAATCGAGATCTCAATTTCAGTCACCATAATCGTGATTATTATTTTTGCCATAATCGAGCAGCCCTACTTGTAAGTCGCTTTGGACAAAAGCATCTGCTAAATACATACACATAAACATTACTTATTGTTCTTTTTATTATTTTAAAAAAGAAAGAAAAGGATCTTTTATAGAAAAATCGAGAGAAAATCACGAGGCGCTTCACAAGAACAAAACATTTTAAACATAAAAAAGATTTCAAAAAATTATTAAAAGATATGGTTCAAATGAGAAAGAAGTTATGATAAAAAAATGTAGGTTCATACAAATGAACAGATCTCAGGTTGAATTAATTTGACCATGTTTGACTCAAATCTGTATAGATTTTTTAAAATGATATTGCCATAGTTCTGCTAAGAATCTGTACGAAAAAGCTTTCAGTGTGGACTTAGCCTGATATTTGACCTAGTTGTTATGGTTTCAGCTGCCTGCTGTGTAGGTTCGGCACCCAGCAAGAGGTGAAGACGCCTGTCACTTGATGGAAGTGTGAGCTCTGAGTAGACAGGGAGGAGAGGAAGTGTGCACACCCCCAGGTGACCGCTATGAGTTTACAATAATGTATGAAGACAGATGGAGGAAACCAGGGAGGAAGAGCTCCAGACCGCCAAGAGAGACTGTTCAGTTAATCAAATGTGGTTCAGAGGGATGTAAACTACCACTGTTTGGATCCATCTAATATAAAATTACAATGGATCACAAACACATTTGAATAAAAATTCATTATTCTTTAATGTTGGCAATACATTCATGACCCTAAAATGGCAATTGTTTCCCCAAAAATGTCGTCAAACATAACTTAGTCTTGAATAAAATCACCCGTATTTACAGTAAACACAATGTTTTTGTGTGATGGGTTCAACAAATTAGCAATGAATCCTTTAATTTTTTATTTCTGGGTAATAATTTGAAATTTTTTCTATGAAATATTAATTTTAAAATGATTCTCTTTCCCTGTTTGATCAGCGTTACCAAGTAATTAATACATTATTGTATTAGTCATAAATGTATTGAGAGAAATGATTATGTAGCTTTTATGAATATTGGAGCCAATTATTTTACTTCTTTGTCAGCTGAAGGGAAAAGTGAATTGATCGTGAGTTGCTTGAAGCTGCTAGTGAAAACTAAACACATGTTCATCAGACAGGAGATGGAAACATCATTACAAACATTCTGAAGGTCGACAAGACATGTTATTATTAAGATATGTGCCTTATTACAACTTTAACAGATTTCCCTCCCTGTTGTAGCCTAGTGAACTAGACCAAATTCTTGCTTTGCAAAGTTTGGTCTAGGCATGCTCCATTGGAACCTCCACAGCTCCTACCAGGACTCTGGCTAGCCAATCACAGCTCTCTAGAGGGGTTTCAAACACATAAAGAGCTGTGATTGGTCCATAATGGTGGGCCAATCATAGTGCTCTATCTGCTTAGTGAACAAAACACAGAGCTTTATCCGCTTTGTGGGCCAATCAGGGCACTCTATATGCCTGGTGGGTGGGATGATGCAACAGAGTGAAACAAGAGTATGTCACATTCATTGTCCAGTGGAATGCGGAGATCATTTGAAAGACAACGGTAGAACCCGCCCCACAACCGAGAGCCGTCAATGGAGCATGGCCACACTAAATAATACATTTATTTAGTCTGGCTTGTCAGGCTAGTCTTTAGACTACTGTTTAAAAACAGAAATTGTCAATCCAAAGCTCAAACTGACTTGTTTCTGATGTACAGCTTTCCATCCCATCCTGTGTAAACTTTGACCTCTTTACTTGTCTGAATGATCCGTTTTCCTTTGGTCTGAGACTTTTGTTTGTCCTTCTTGGCTGGTTTATTGACAGGTCATAGTGATGTTCTAAATATATGGTAATATTAGAAACAGGCTTTATTGTCTCTTGGTTTCAGTCTGTGTAAAATCATAATGAAAGACTCGTGTTTTCACGTTCTGTCAACTTGCTGATCAGAGTGACCCTATAGAAATTATCCTTGAAGTGTGGAATTTTATTCTGGTGTTGGAAAAAACAAACAGAATTTAAGCTGAATGTTTGTCAGCACAGAAAGAAACGACAAATGAAGACACTGCATGTTGCAGATTTATATATATGCATACTAGGGCTGGACAATAATTCAATAACGATGGTTCAATAGAAGAAAAAGCCAGATCAGTAAAAACTTTTACAAAAGATTCCTTTTTCCATTACAGCAAGGAGAGGTGGAAATTAGTGGTGGAGGTGAAATTGTATTTAAAAAAAAGGTTACAGTACTTCACCAGAAGAAGAAGAAGAAGAAAACGGCTCCAGGATGCGTTGCCACATTGGAGACAGGAACAAGCACTATTCAGCCAAAGTTTCATAATCAGGGAACATTTTCTAAGTGACAAGTCTCTCTGAGAGACAGGGTTCGGAAAACACTCGCTTCAGTGGGAGGAACCTTCCCGCATGCGCTCTGGTTCTGCGACACACTCCAAGCCAATCTCCACAACTTCAGCTCGCTGGGCACTTATGCACTGACAGCGAGCTGCGCTGAGCAGTGTCCAGCTCAGATGTTCAGATGGGAATCTTTTAGCTACATCTGCAATGTGCATAACGAATAAAATGTCAGTATGTCTGCATGTGTCGGGTAATTCTTTCGCCGTCAAAATAAACGGTCAAATGCAGGAACTATCCGGTCAACACAACACATGCCCTGCTTTTGACTGTTTTGTTTTCTTGTGAAAATTGTTGGAAAGAGATCAAATTTAACTTGATTACCACCAGAGCCTGTGCCGTCATCTCCGTGACGGTAAATGAGGGAAAAAAAATTGATCGGATCCTGCACGTCTTTTAACACATTGGTCAGGATTGACGCACTTTGTTTTCATTTAGTTGGTTAAAAAAAAGTCTGGCTCGGGCTCTGGTCGGGCCAGAGAATCCTGAAAACCTTTTCGGACCGGGTCGGGCTGGGGCTCCACCCTCTCGGGCCGGGCCGGACACGGGCTCAGATTTTAGGCCCATGCAGGGCTCTAGGAGAAATTCATGGCAAAGTGATCAGAGGGATCATCAACGTGGATGTTAAAATCACCCACAATCACCAGTCTGGACAGCTACACAGTGGAGGCTAGAAAGTCACTAAACTCTTGAAGGAAAGAACTGTTTGGACCAGGTGGACGATAGACCACAGTACAGTAGAATGGGTCCTTACGCCCGACTAATCAGCTGCAGGTCAAAGGAAGTAAAGTGACCAGAGGCTGTAGAGCTACATGGAAGATGGTCTCTGTAAACAACAGCTAGGCCTCCACCACGACCAGAACCCCGGGGCTGGCTAAGAAAAGAATAACCACTCGGGCAGAGTTCAATCAGACCAGAATAATCAGATGTTTGCTGCCAAACTTCAGTCAGAAACAGAAAATCCAGGTTTTTAGAGAGAATTAAATCATTGAGCAGGAAGGACTTGTTGTTAACAGAGCGGATATTTAATAGAGCCATGCTGAGTGAGATGGAGGAATCAGAAACTACAGAAACAGCTGGAGTTAGTGGATGTAAATTAGCGGGGTTAGATCCATGGTGTTTCTAAAAACCACTTATGGAGGGAACAGGAAGAGAAACCACTGAGGAATGAGGATAAACCGACCTTAAAAAACTTGGACGGACCAGTGTGGCAATACATAAATATACTATAAATAATACCATTGACTTAGGTTCTGGAGTCTTCAAGTCATTCAAAATGTTCGGATGCATATTGCCTGTGTGTGTGAAACAAAAACCACCTGATTTCATTTAACAAAGATCTTGAAGTTTGAGCAAGCCAGGTAAAAGAGGCCATGTCAAGGCTCTGGCAGTCTGAACAAGCTGTAGGGAAACACCACCACCTGCTGTCTGAGATCATAATCTTTACATTATAACCAGAAATGCTTGATGGTTGCATTTGTTGTTGGACTATCGAGCATGTCCTCACAAACGGTTAAAGAGCATGTGTTAGTGCTCAGCTAAGTCCCTTTGTTCTGTCGAGTGTTTGTGGTAAAAAAACAGCCTGTTCTGATCATGTTGTGTGATCGCTGGGTGTCTTTTCTCTGCAGGAGCAGATCCACGTTCCTGTCTACCACCCAACTCCCAGCCAGGCCCGCCTGGCCACCCAGCTGACAGAAGAGGAGCAGGTCCGGATCGCTCAGCGGATCGGACTCATCCAACACCTACCGAAGGGCGTGTACGACCCAGGGCGAGACGGCTCAGAGAAGAAGATCAGAGAGTGAGTTTGAACCCTTTACTCCCAGCTGTGGCGTGTATTTATTGCCACCATGAAATAAACACAATATTACAAAGAAAGAGCCCAGTCTGCTCTGGTTTTCAACCATCAAGGGAGGATTTCATTTAAAGCCAAATGAAATGACTTTTTAAACTAGAGGAATGTCAAACTTAAATTATTTCCCTTGGAAACTTATTCTTTAAAGTATTGTTTTAATTATCTATTAGTTACTTATGAGTAAATAATCTGCAAAGACAAATAAATTAGGATGAAGTGGAATTATTTGAATTTGAGGTATAAATTCAAGATTGTGTTTTCAGATACAGCGTCCTCCTGTTTGTGGTCAGAAAATGTAAAAATAAATTAGCTGTTAAAGGTGTACTATATAAGAATGAAGTAAGAATAACATCCTGTAGTCAGATTTGGTTATTGCAGGACATATTTATAAACAAAAGATGACTTTCTCACAACCGTTCTGTGAGTTGCATGGCTTTTCCTACAAGATCAGCGCCAGACGATTCTAGAAAACAAAGATGAGTCATACACAGTAAGTTGATAAGTAAATAAATTTCATATCTGATGTCAGTACTCTTGGGTGTTTTACGGTAGGGAGCACTTACTACATTTATTATGGTAGTATGCCTCCGGCATTAGAGGAAGTGTGGTTGTTTGTCCTCTTGCTGCTAGCTGAACGACTCATTAAAGGAAGTGAAACGCCACGATTGACTCATTATTCACGTCACACATACATTTCACTGCAATATCCAGTTGTTGGGGCTGCACAGGGATTAGCGCTGTTGCCTCGTAGCAATAAGGCCCTGGGGTCAAATCCCAGCCTGGGGTCTTTCTGCATGTGCTCTCTGTGTGTTCTCCCCCCACAGTCCAAAAACATGACTGTCAGGTTGTTGGGCTGTCTAAATTGTCCCTAGGTGTGTGTGTGTGTGTGCATGCACACATGGTTGCTTGTCTTGTGTGTCTCTGTTGCTCTGCGATGGGCTGGCAACCTGTCCAGGGTGTATCCATGCCTGCTGCCTGGAGACTGCTGGAAATGGGCACCAGCCCAACGTGACCCTGTGTGGACAAGCAGGTAAAGAAAATGGATGGATTCAGGTGTTGGTCATTGAAAAAGTAACTTGAGATACTTTTAGACCGGACTATTTGTTTTGAATTCACCATTAGCATTGTTAGCTCAGCATTAGCCTCTACACATTTTTACCCAATAGAACCCGCCGGTGTCAAATTACATTCCTGGTGCTGCAGCGTTAGCTTGGTGCTGACTCTAGGGCAGGTGTCACCGACTCCAGTCCTCAAAGGCTACCATCCTGCTAGTTTTGGTGTTTCCTGCGCCACCACATCTGAATGCAGTAATGCAATCCTCTCCTTAGCACTTTTAACTCTGCACAGGCCTGTTAATTATTCATTCATTTCAGTCAGGAGTGTAGGAGCAAAGAAACAGCTAATGTGCCGGATTTTAGCCCTCGAGGACCGGCGTTGGTGATCCCTGCTCTGAGGACTCACAGATTGTAAACAGTGACTACGTTCCTTTTTAATTTTTCTGAAAGGAAAAAAAAACTGACAAGGTAGGAAATATGTTTCAGTCTAACCTTCCTTCCAACATGATTGAGACATTAGACCACATGTGTCAGACACAAGGCCCGCAGAGCATTTTTATGTGGCCAGTGAGATAAATATCAAAAATATATTAAAACTGACCCGCTGGCCGATTTTACCGCAAAGACTACAACTTTCATGATGCTTTGCGGCGTCAGCGCGGAGCCGAAGCACCCCTTCCTTTGTGTTTTTTCCAGCGTCTGCTGCCGGTGTCTGCAGCTCCGCTGTCTCGGAAAAACTAAACACTCCTCTCACTCAGTGCCGAGTTTACTCAGCTATTTTCCGATGTTGAAGCCCAGAAATGGAGATTTTAACCTCTCAGTAATGTGTTCATGACTGAAGGAGAAAGTTTTCCAACTAACTTCCAGACAGAGCTGATATAACTCCAGCGAGCAGCGACACGCTCAAATCAGCATGACTCTGTGGCTGCTGTAGTTTTTATTTTTCCTCCCCGACACACAACAATGTGGTCAAGCTGCTCAGACATGTTCATCAGCGCAAACCTATGTGAGCACCTGTTGTCATCTAATGTTGTCATTATTATGATGAAGATGAACAAAACAACAGGAGTCTCCTCCTCAGCTCAGATCAACCCCATGATGCAGGTATCTGGCTGGAACAGGTGAGCATCACAGTAAACCAGTGGAGCAAACTGAGCTTTAAATGTGTTGGTTTTATGCTCTTTTTCTGCTCCAAAACATGAAAGTTAACAGGTGAGATGTTGCATTTTCATTTAAGATCAAATTATATTTTTATTTTGTTGTTGGCCCGTGAGAAAAGATTTAACCTACAGTAAACAGGAAGTGGAAAGGCTGCAGATAGATGAATAGAATAGAAAATCCCTTCATTGTTCCTCAGTGAGGAAAGCTAGATGTCACAGCAGTGATGACACGTATTACAGGAGAAAAAAAGGAGAATTAAAAATAAGAAAAATGAATAAACAACAAGAAAACATAAATCGTAAATAGATTTTAAAAATGCTGAATATACCACAAGTAATGAATACTACTGATGCATTTTATTTAAAATTGACTTGCTCGTGTATAATTTGGTTATTCCACATTCAGTGTTAATGCAAAAATAAGTTTGTTTCCAAATTAAAAGGTTCAAAATTGCATATTTGTTGATAAAGAAAATTTGCAAATTTGCCGTCACTTTTTCAAAAAATATTAAGTTTGGCCCGCGACTTCGTCCCAGATTTTCATTTCTGCCCAGTGTGAATTTGAGTTTGACACCCCTGCATTAGACTGTTTGTCGTAAGAAGACTGTTGTGTAAGATGCTAAATCATATTTCTTTAAAAAACAAAACAAAATCAAGACTGCTTCAGTGCATCGACTGTAGGTTGCTGAAGCAGAGATTGAATCCTAACTTATAAATCCAGAGGGATCTGGGGGTCATGTTCCACCCAACAATATTTAAAAAGCATCATTTTTAACTGGAATTTCTACACAATTTGGGGGAAAGTACTAGAGGTGCTGAAAAAAATCGATTCAAGTCTGAATCGGGATTCTTATTTATAAAGATTCAGAATCGATTCACAAAGGTTCAGAATCGATTCCAGGAACTCAAACGTTTGGCATGTTACAGGTTTGAGATGTACTTTTGTATGTTTTTTTTGGTCTTTGTTAGGAGAGTTAGTACTCCGTTTACTTTAGTGGTCCCATGAATTGGGATGATTTATTTTTGAATCTGCTGATAAGTGGGGACTAGAATGTAATTTTTTTTCCATACTCAGAAATTTGAGATATTCTCATATTTATTTTCTAAATTGATAAGTGAGTACTCAGGATTACTCATGTGTTTATTTGAAGTTATTGGTAAATGAGAGAAAACATTGTCCTTTGTAAGAAATCCGAGGCACTTTTTTTTTAAACAGGTTGAGGACTCAAATGTTAAACTTGTTTCCACACATACTTAAAAAGTATTTGACCATATTACTTTCAAAGCTACTGTTAGGTAACAAAAGATTTGTTATATTTTACAATGTAAGCAAAAATAAATGTTGCCTTTTGGTCAAAAGATTGTTTCTGTTTACAGTTTTAGAATCATTTTATTTTACCTTGTAAATTAGCTTTTTTTTTAGCATGACCAGTTTAAAGTAAAATAAAAAAATTCCCATAGCTTGGAACTGACACACTTTGTTAATATTGATTGTGAATCGATTTAAATCGAGAATCGATTTCGAATCGAATTGTGAGTTGCTCTGAGATTCACATCCCTAGAAAGTACACACTGCTGTAATGCAAAAATTGTTTTTTTTCTAAATCACTTTAAAGTAAGAGTGAGCAGTTTTCTGCTCCTCCATCCTACTGGTTGAAAGTACGATAACAACTGTTGTAAACAACCCAACTGTATCCAGTGTTGGGAGTAATGCGGTACAAAAGTAATTAATTACTGTAATGCATTGCTTTTTGCTGTAATGTGGTAATGTAAGGCATTATAGGGAAAGAAAATGGTAATATTTACTCGGTACAATTGTCAGTAACGCAGTAATTACAATGCATTTTTAAACACAGAATCAAGATGTGTTCCTTAAAAATTCAAATTGCGGGAAACCCGACGAAAGATCCAGTATCTGCATATATTACGTCATTTATGGACTCAGCTTTGCGGGCAGAGAGGATGCAGCGGTACGCGGTAACGGACCGCGGTCAAGTGAGCCGTCATTTGTGAGCCGCGGTCAAGCCAGCCGCATCTTATCCGCCACGAAAATTTCATTGCGCGTTTACAACAGTCAACGGCTGAAATACTCCAGCTGCGCCCTGCACGTGGCCGCTGCAACATTCACAAAATCGCTCCACTAAAACAAAATAATTCACTTGCGATCGTTCATATCAGCACATATTCTCTGATATTTTGTGCTTTTCTGACGTGCTTTGCCTCAGCTGAGTTCATAATCTGTACCCCGGTGATTTCAACTCATTACTGCTGGAGCGCCGCGCATGTGAAGATCCCTTTGGCTGACAGAAAGTAGGAAGTCTAGGAAACAGTTTTTTCTGGAAGACGGAGAAAACATGCAGCATGCAGGAAGGTTAGAGAGAGAAAGGGCAGGAAATTATTCAAATAAAATCAAGAAAACAAAACAAAGTGCTTGAAAAGAAAAAAGTAGGTAGATTTATCCCCAATACACATTTTTACCAGTGAAAAGCAATAATATATAAGCATTTAATATTTATACATGTGATAGAATCAGATCACCCCAGAAGTCAGTCCCACATCCAGGGCCGTATCAAGGCATTTGGGGACCAAGGCAAATATAGGCTTGGAGCCCCCACCACCTCACTCCCTGCTCAGTTAATATAAGATGGCAGCGCACTGAGAGTACAGATTGTTGTTGCTTTTATTTAATAAACAATCATTTTAAAGCACTGTTATGATATCTGACTGTTTTTAACATCAATCCTAGCCCAGATACCACATCACCTTCCACATATATTTCATGAGCTCACTGAGCGTCACATGACCAGATTCGTATTGAAGTTGTATTGGTGAAAGTAACTTAGAGTAATGCAAAAGTAGTGTAATGCCTTACATTTTAAAATCATTAATATTGTAATGTAATGAATTACTTTAAAATGAGGGTAACAAGTAATAAATAATGCATTACAGTTTTGAAGTAACTTGCCCAACACTGACTGTATCTAGCTCTAATAACAAGCTAACACAAATTTGACCCAACTACCAACTAATGCTAAAATAAACCATGAAATAAAAAGATCCACACTGTAGGACAAAAATATTATTACTTATAAATCCAGTAGCAACAAAGCCAGGTCACAATCAGTCCGTGATTTTGTAGCATCCTTTAGCTCCCTCAAACTAGTGTAGGCCATGCTGATGTTAACTCTGGTTGTAGCTCTTTGCTTCACCTCAAGAGACATTACTCTCTTACTTTTACTTCCAGGCTCTGCCATGATGCCAACAGAAAAAGCAAACTTCTTCTTTTTCTGCTTTATATTGATTGGCAAACTGAAAATGCTAACCACTAACATTACAGCTAACAGCCATAAAGCAGGTAAAGAGCACCTCCTAGGACACCTACCTGTTCCACTAAACTATTAAGTGCGGTTTTTGGTCAGCGGAGGGCCGCAGAGTGTTGTCAAAAGCCAGTTTCACATTTGGCCCAGGCTGGGTGGCTCCAGATCAGGGTCCTGCACCGGTAGGTTTTGTTCACACATTCTTTTTAGGAATGTGGAAATCTCAGAGCACATGGGCAGGGAAAAGATGCACTGAGAAATCTGTGATGCCTCCCTTAAGTTAAGTAAACAAAGCGTTGCTTTTGCATTCTCTGACTCTGATATTGCATCCTGACTGCTGTCTGTCCTCGCGCAGGGCAGCATGCAAGCCTCCACAGCGCTCCCTGTGTGTGTGCTCCTCACAGCACGTCTCAGTGACAGAGACAGAGAGCCCCTGCAGCTTCAGTCAGAGGCAGTGTTTACTCCTCAGTTTCCAGAATGATAATGAATCCCACATGCGGAAGCCCCTGCTGGCTGATTTCTCTTTGTCAGTCAGAGGCTTCCCTTAATGGTAGGCATGAATTTGAGCCAGTCAGTCGGTCTGCAGAGGTTGTGTTGGGTCAGTTCAGCCCAAAGCAGCCCGCCTGGGGAAGAGGGCTGAAAATATGGTCGGTGGAGCACGAAAAAAAATACAGGCTACCCAGATGTGAACACAATATACCATACCTGGGCCGGACCGACCCTGATGTGAAAACGGCAAAGCTGGTTAAGTTTACTAAGATAAATGTTAAAGCTTTAGCTTAAAGTAAAATCTTTTTTTTTTAGTAATTTTCATTTTGATACACCAGAGAAGTCATTGAGATAGGTCTTGTGCATTGAGGAGAGTTTACGATGGTATGTTCTCACCTCTGCAGGTGCGTCATCTGTATGATGGACTTTGTTTATGGAGACCCCATCCGGTTCCTGCCCTGCATGCACATCTACCACCTGGACTGTATAGACGACTGGCTGATGAGATCCTTCACCTGCCCCTCCTGCATGGAGCCTGTGGACGCTGCGCTGCTCTCCTCCTACGAGACCAACTGACACAAGCACCCCCTGGACCACACAGGACCTGAACAAATCCATGGACACTCTAAATACACTAAACATCAACTTCCCCAACTTATATCCTGGATTAGTAAGATGGTGATTTCAAAGCATTGATCGTAAAATAACGTAGGATGAATAATGTTTGTGCATAAAAATTTATAATTATAAATATATGTACGGTGTGTGTGTGTGTGCGCGCGTGTGCATGTGTGTATGTGTACACCATTTCCTCAGTTGGCCTGCTGGACAGGACTGCATCTGAGAAAGGACAGGAGGAATAAAGAACAAGAGCAGGGAGGAGAGAGGAGTCAAAGATGAGTGCAGAAAGCCCGGGTGTGTGCATGAAGCGAGCGACAGAGAAGCAGCTGGAACCTGTGATTATTAACTATCATGACTGAGAAATATTTTTATGTTCTGTTTTCAAATTTGGCACACACACACACACACAAACAGAAGCATACTCCCTTCCTTTTACTTTCATTACAAGAATGCAGATTGTTTTTCTCTGTCTGTTGGTAAGTGAAAACTTTCATAACCGAAGGAAAAGTTGATTGGTAGTTGTATTTCCTAAGAAACTGTTACAGGGTTGTTGTAGACGAGACTAGTAGAGACGAACACACAACATAGTAGCACAGACTACCAGGCTCCCTCCGTCTTCTGCACACCTACCTTGACTTGTCTCTGCAGATCTTTCCTGTGAAACGTTAGCTGAATGGTCGCTGTGTCGATTGGCTGTTCTGTGGCTTTGTGAAATCTGTTCTTTAGTTATTTTGCAAATCAACATAAGGGCTTCGTGTTGAATCGGTTTACCAAAAACACAGACTCAGCAAAAGGAAGTATATACTTCACTCATTCATGTGATGATGCTAAAATTATCACTGATGAGATCTCAGACTACAGGCCAAAGCAAAAAGTCAACAGATGAGCGACACTTTGATCAGAATTTGAAATTTGCAGTACTTAAAGGGATTTTTCAGCTGTTTTTAAGTAGGTTCCTGTGTAAAAGTTTTAAAGAATTACTGACAGAACTAGTTAGTACAGTCAAGAACAAAGTGCACTCTCAGAAATCTAATGTTGAATTTACTTAACCAAGTTATGTCAACTGGTTCCACTAAACCTATTACTTAAAGACCAAGTTCATTGAGAAACTGTTGTTTACTTGTTAGTTTTGAAATATGATTGGTCACTCTTGAGTTTCACATGCAGGCTTATTGTGAAAATAGTCTTCTACCCTTGTTTCCTGCATTAGCCACCAATAAAAAAGATGAAAATACTAGGATTAGACAAGCTCAGATCAACGTCACACTGTCACTTAACATCCGTCATGACTCGCGACGGCTGTAGACGTTTAGTGTCCAGGGAATGGTAGAGAATATCTCGGCTAGTAGAAGCTAACTATTAGCATTAGCAACTTTACCGCATGGGAAAACTCCTCCAGTCTTGTGTTATATTTGTGGAGATGAAACATCCGTGTTACAACGTAAACTGAGTGAGTCGAGGAGATTAGATGTCAGAATATCAGAACATAATCCTCCAAAACCTTCCATCTTCTGCTTCTTTCTCCTTTGGCTCACGTCTAGTTCCTGAAAGAAGAGTGTCAGAGCTTTTTCCCCTACAGAAATTGACCCACATCATGAATTGCACATGCGAGAAGCCCCCGCTGGCTGATTCAACCTACCAATCGGAGGCTCGCCCCAATGGTGTGAATTTGAGCTAGCCAATCGGTCGACAGTGGGAGTGCTGAGCCAGTTCAGCCCAAAGCAGATCGCCTTGGGAAGAGGGCTGAAAAAACAACCGGTTGAGCACGGAAAAAAACAGGCTACCCAGATGTGAACACTTTATACCATACCTGGGTGGGACAGAGCCTAGAGAACTTGGTCTTTAAATATAAAGTGTAATATGCATTTACTTTCAACGTAACGCATTAGAATATACGTATATTACTCTTTACATTCAAGCATCCAGTTGACATAATTTGATTACGTAAATTCAACAGTTCATTTCTTCTGTTCCAAACTCCAATATTTCATAGCCGTTCACGCCAAACTACTTTTTATGTTTATTATTAGGTTTATAATAAAAGATAAAGTAGTATACAATCCCAAAAAAACAGCCTTGAATTATACCAATAATGTGTTTCAGCTAGCTGATGCTACGTACAGTATGTAATGTAGAATTTGTTTAAAGGTGCAGTATGCAAGAACATAGTGAGAATTTTACAGTGAGAAAATCCCTTAAGAGTCTACTGTTTCAGTCATTTGAAAGGAAGGTTATACTGAAACATAGTTCATATAATTGTCAGTTTTTCTTCTTTCAAAACAAAAGGAGGGACGTAGCTACTCTTTACCATCAGTGAGTGTGGGGTTGTGTCTCCTGTGAGCTAATACTGCAGCGCTGACAACTGCCATTTGACGACGGCTGGCAAAAAGCTCCAGACTAGTTTAAAGTGGTTGCTGTAACCAAAATTTACCACAGGATGTCATTTTTTCTTCATTTGTACATAATGCACCTTTAAATTTTCTCACCAAAAAAATACATTTGAAAATGGCAGAAAAGTCTCTTTAAACACACATGACAAAAAGCCGAATGCATTCAGCGATTATGTCAATGTGAGGTATTAGGTTTTGTTTATTATGCATCCTCTTTAAAGTTTTTTGTGTTTAAAGTCTGTGGATTCAATGACAAGGCCTAAAAACTAATTTATTTACATTTTTCCTCGTCTTCAGCAAGTAAATTAAAGATTTAATCTTCATAATATTTAAGTAAACCTACAGAGCTTTGGGTTCATTCACTATCAACAAAAATGAGCTGAATGTCTGCACAGTTCTGAGGATGTTTGCTAGAATTTAAGCTAATTTTATCATCATTATTGTAGCATGGACCTGAATGATCTCCAGGCCACATATGATTATTTCTGTGTCACCCAGTTTACAGCAAAAGCACAAAGAGATGCCAGATTCAGGAGTTGTGTTGGGATTGGGGGAATGATTGTTTTGAGATAAGCTGATTGAATCAATGGGCTGCAGTCAGCACCTTAGTTTTTGCACAAGGCTCTTGTACTTCTCTCTTCATTGTCCTTGATCGTCCTATTGGGGCTTTATGGCCTTATCTGAGACAGGATTGTCATTGGCTGCTAAAGTGCGAAGAAAAAAAGAAGCAAAATAGGAGAACGCACAGAAAGTTAAGATAATGCTAGTAGGTTTTTGAGAGAAAAAAATCTAGACTGACAAATATTTTATGGATAAACAATTATAAGTGGCATACCTACCGTAGTCTTAGAAATAGATTGGGGGGGGGGGGGGGGGGGGTTTCAACAAAGTGATCTGCTAACATTTGCTGAAACCTGTCTTTTTGTTTCATTTTGAAGACCCAAGTTCACTGAGAAATCTTTTTTTGAAATATGATCGGTCACATGCAGGCTAAATGTGAAAATAGCCTTCTATCCCTATTTCCTGCATTAGCTACAGATACACGGGGAAACTCAGATCCGGGTCACACTGAAAATTAACATTCATGGACTTACGACTGTTGTTGATTTAGTATCCAGGAGACGGCAGAAAGACTTGGCTAGTAGAAGCTAACTGTCAGCATTAGCAGCTCCACAACATGGCAGAACTTCTTATGGTATTTACAAAGATAAAACATCAACGTTGCAAAGGGAGTGAGTCAGTGATAAAGTTGTGTTTCTGCTAGCAAGTTTGAGGCAAGATGTCTGAATATCCGGAAATAAGACTCCAAATGCTGCCGTTTTCTGCTCACCTCTGCTCTGGCTCATTTCTAGTTCCTGTAAAAAGGAGCGCCAGAGCTTTTTTTCACCCATTCATTCAAAGACCACTGCAAATGTGTTGGGAAAACAAGTGTACTTTGTCTTTAACAATGATGCAAGCTGCAGAAGATTTGTCCTAACTGCTAACAGTGGTTTCTGACACAGATTCAGGAGGGGCCTCTTTGTTTATATTTGACCAAACTCACAAGAATGGTATGAGTGAGCGAGCGTCTGTGGGAAGAGTGTTAATTTGACCCTTTAAGAGACCAAACCGCAAAGTGAACAAGAGTATGTTTGTTTTGTGTTTGTGAATGCTTTCCCTGTTTGTAAAATGAAATATGCATAAAGCTATGTACTTAAAGCAAATAATAAATAGACAACAAAAGCACATGAACCTGGTTGTTTGGTTTATTTTTTTGCAGTAGAAGTTATATTTAGCATAAGTTTCACATCTAAAATAGAAAGCCTTTCTGTTAGTCTCTGGAACCATTTGACTCCTTGATCTTAAGATCAGAACTTTTCTGAAACCTCAGGCAAAGCTCCCTCATATTGATTCTTCTTCATGCGATCGTAGTGGTTATGCAACCAAAGGAAGTAATCTTCCATGAATTTGCAAGAGACTATTGTGAAGCAGTGTTTCAGGTAATCACATTTAATTTTATGGCAACTTTACTTTTTGACAATTTAAAATGCTTTTAGCTAAAATGAAGCCATTTGCGGTTTTTCACTTTTCAAATAATAAATGCATTGATTAAAACGTCAAATGGACGAGACCTGGGTTTTAATGTTTTAAATGGTTTCAAGACCGTGTTATAATAAAAAAAAAGCTTTTAGCTTTTTAAAAAACTGATTTTGCTAGTTCAATTCATAAAACATTTTCTTGTTTGTTCATTATTTTATGTTTAAACAATAAAAATCAAAGCTTTGATTTTTGTTTAAATCAGAAAAAGCAAACTGCATTAAGAATTTTACCTAAAGGTAACATCAAAACCAGGAGAGAGAGAACATCTGTTATGTGCTGGCTGTACTGCTGCAGGATGTTAGGCCCTGGACCTGCATCTCACTAGCAGGCTCGTTATCAGCAGAGGGTGCAGTGGTAAAGCTACTGCATCTGGGGCGCCAATCCCTCCTGCTGGGCTGGTCATGCTTGGACCTGCAACACACGTGATGGGTGAGAGGAGGAAGAGTATGGCAAGCCGATTTAGCATTTAACCAACAACCAGATCTCTAATTCCTATATAACAATAATATAATTTATCCTTGTACAATTGTATTCTTGTCTTGTCCCTGGAGGCTACTCGCCTCTACCTGGTACCCACAGTTATCCCCCAAAAGCCCTGACTTCATGCATCACTCCCTGAAAATACAAAAATGCAGCTCAGAGCGGGGCTGTAGGGTGGGAGCAGATGATTGACACCCATCAAACTTTGAGCCGACGTAGCTTCAAGCTAACTGACCTAACCACAGCTAAGATTTTAGCCAGAAATCTGCTTTCAGCTGTCCACCGTGTCCATTGCAGATAGGAGGAATGTCAGAAGCTGCAAACCTGATGCACATGAATGGGAAATGTGACGTCATTGAATATGGAATATACATTGCCTTAGGCGCACCTGTGGCAAAAACAGCTTGCCATGCATGCCGGCCCACTGGGACTACTGTCGATGGAAATGAGCTACAGGATGTCCAGCCAGCAGTGGAAATGTCTCAAGCACTCTTTGATGTGTGTGTGGAAACGTGAGCAGTTGCACACATTTTTTTATGAGGTAATGATTTGTCGTGTGTGGGACTGATAGCTAGTTGGAGGGGGTGGCAATTCCTCATCGTGTGTGTGTGTGTGCAGGGCTTGAGGTTTCTGTCACTCCTGAGTGCGTGGGTTAGGGTTTGTCTGAGGCAACTCAGATTCTATTTTCTTGTCTTTATTGGAGTTCCTCCTCCTAGTTGGACTTGTTCCCACTGGTAAGCATCATCTTGGGTTTTAGGAAGTATTTGGTTTTAGTTCAGTTATATTTTATTGATGTCTAGGTTTTATTATTGTTTTAATAAATTTCTGTCATTTTTGGAACCACATCCCTCGACCCACTCCTTATATTTTTCTTGCACAAGGTGGTGTTGGAATCAAACATGTTAAAATGAAAATCAGAAGTTTATGAAACACTTCCCTGTTCTATAAAGTGATCCTAACACCGTTGCCACATTTTTAGGAGCAAGAGGAAAAATATTTCACAACTCGCTTTCAGTTTTTTTTTATTTAATTGTTCACTTACTTAAAATGGCTGCTTGAATGCTAAAGTCAATTCGTAAATAACAAGATAAAAACAAGGCATTTCAAAAGCACAATAAAAAACAAATATTAATTAATTCTCGCTCATAAAATCTCATACCGACAACATGCACGTGTGCACACACACACACACACACACACACACACACACACACACACACACACACACACACACACACACACACACACACACACACACACACACACACACACACACACACACACACACACACACCTCATGGCACTTTCCAGATCATTTGGAAATCATACTCACATACTCATATATTATTGGAGTGGCCTAAGCATTTTATCTTACCTATTTTAACTTGGTTTATATTTTTGAATCTAGTCGTTTTGTTTTATTTCATTATCATATTGTAATCTGTTCCTCATGCTGTGAAGCACTTTGGTCAGCAACAGCTGTTAATCCTCTCAAGCTCAAATAGAGTAGAAGGAGTCACCGCTCGTCTGGGAAAAGGTGCTGGATCAAAAAGTGGAATAAACAAAATGAGAAACAATTCCTGATGAAGGTCTCTGACCGAAAGCTTGACCAATTAACTCTTACATCGCACATTGAAGTGTGCAGATTCTCATTTTGTTTAACCCTCTCAGGCTCAAAATAAGTCTTGATAAAAGGACGAACAACTAAGTCCTTCAGGGGTACTTCTGAGTTAAAAAATGCTCATGAAATACGTATGTGGAGTAACCAGGTAGGTAGGTTGTAATTTTAACGTTGCAAATCTGCAACGCCTGACTCCAGAGGGTTAAACTATACAAATAAAACTGACCTTGATTGACACGATAACAATGACGAATGAATTTTGCATTGGATGGCTATAAAGCCAATTATACTTACAGGAGAAATGAGACTGGAGGAAGTAGCATGTTGACAAAAATAAGTTACAAAGTGGTACCGTATATCGATAATATCCATAGAAATATTAAAGATTGAAATAAATTATTGTCACTTTTATTTTTAGAGCACCTGGTTCTAACATGTGAGCATTCAGTGACTGGGTCTAGGGGTTAATCTGTTGGGAATAACATTTAACTTCTCTATGGTCAAATTTATCAACACTGTGTTTTAAGTTTACATCCAACAATGAAAACATCACACTGTGCAACAACAAATGACCATAATTTTAGAATCAATATGGAAAATAACATAAGTTAGTGAGGATTTCTGTTTAGTTGTAAAAATGACATTTTTTAATAGATATTAAAAAAAAAACTCCTCTAAGGAACTCATCCAGATCACTTTAACCCTTCAATGCCCAGATCAGTGTTGTCTCGTCTCAAACTGGCGCTAATCTGAGTTAGGATAATCTCAGCTATAAAGATTTTTAATTTTTTCTGGCCGATCCAAACAGCAACCCTCAAACAATCAAAAATGAAATGGGTCCATTCTTGGATATATTTATCCGTGACAGTCGTTGATTTTTAGGACAAGTTGTTGATGTGACGCTATTTGTGCGCCACAGGTTCAGAAAATGAACGCACCACGGGCTGTTGACAACTCAAGCTACACCGTTCTAGCACCCTAAAACACATTTAATCACTCAAACTGTAAAATGAAAGCATTTGTTTTTATTTATTGAAAACGTAATTTACAATGTTTCCTCCATTTGTTCTCTATTATATTTTTATGCTCTGCGTTGGACTTCGCTTGACGTTAACACATAATATCTTTTACCAGTTTCACAGAAATGCAAAAGACTTTGTTCTCACGTGAATACGTTTATCTCATTAATTGCACGTTATCTTTAGTAACAGCTTTAGTAGTAAACTACATTAATAATGCATAGTTCAGGTCCTTGAGTTTCAACATTTCCGACAGAGTGCGTTATCTGCCTTTATTCCTCACAGCTGTGTTTTGGGTGAAGGTGCCCTAAAATTCTAATGAGTCAGATAAAGACGAATTATTGAACAAGTGATTTAACTTCATTCATAAAATGAGAACAGCTGACAAGTTAGGGGCAAGCAGGTCTAAATGCCACAGGCGATTATTGGAAAGTCTATTTAAAAACAAAACTCGTCCTTCAGCTCTTATTGGTCCATGTTGGACTTTCCGTCAGTCTTACAAATCAGACAAAATAATGTTTTCAAAATGCTTCTCGTGAGGTTTTTGTCCTCGTGTGTCTCGTTGCAACCAGAATAAAGATAGTCTTTCATATTTCACTCACGCGAGCTTAAGTACTCCTGGATGCATTCGGCGGTCTCCCTCCGTTTGTAGTCCAGCGCGAGCTCCAGGGCGGTGTACCCCAGCCCGGTGGTCGCTGTGGGGTCTGCGGTCAGTCCCAGCAGAAGCCGGACCACCTCCAGGTGCCCCTCCCTCGCGGCCAGGTGCAGCGGAAGGTTGAGGTCGTCATCCACAAGGTTCACGTCCGCTCCATTATCTATGAGCGCGTGCACAGAATCCACGAATCCCTCGCGCGCTGCGTCGTGAGTCACCGTGAGATTCAAGACCGGGTCACGCTTGTTGGGGTTCGCTCCATTCTGCAGGAGGGTCCGAACGAGCGGCGTGTTCCCCAGCTTCACCACCTGCACACGGAGACAGGCCTTGAGTAGGTCACGACCTGTAAACAAACTCCTCTGGCTGCTGCGTTAACGACATTTATTTGTTTACGTTTTGTTTGATTTGTTTAAAAAACTTTGATATTTTAAATCACCTTTAACACCCTCCAGGCTAACTTTCTAAACATTTAGGCCAGTAATCATTTTAGGCCTCCAGAAGAAAGTTATTGTCCTTATTAGGCTATAATGAAATAATGGACACTATTTTGTCTGACAAGGCAGAAAAACAAAACAAACAACAATTTTATCGTTTTTTTTAATTTATATAAAATTACTGTGTGTTTTTATTTTTGGAAGCCACAACTTTTGCAAGTTATAAGTGACCTGGAGGTCGTTGTTGATCTGTTGATTAATCAGTTAATTCAGCCATTCATGTCATACTACTGCTGACTGGATCTTGTTATGAGAATAAAAGTCCAGTAATGAGTGTGTTATTGCCCAGACTCACACATCTCCCCACAGGGCACGACTTCAGGGCCTCACCAACTTCCACTGGGCTTTTATAAGTAATCTAACTATAAATATAGGCACACACACACACACACACCACCCACCGAGCCACGTTTAGCAGTGCTTAAAAGATGCATTATTATCACTCATGTTTATGTTAAAATCATTTTTACCTAAAATAAAATAAAAACACTGTTACATATTGCACCAAGACAAATAAAAGATGTGCCACCTCAGACGTGAGACCTCAGATTGATCTCATTAGCACTTTAACTCGAAGTATTACTATTCATTTTCTTAAGGTAGAACATTTTGGTCAGTTTTTCTTTGTTAAGATGCTTTATAAATAAAGTTAGCTTGGCTTTTCTTTTCCCTTGGAAAATAAATAATAATAATAAATGTACTGAAAACCTGTTAATTTGTACTGTAGGCTACTTTATATGAATTCAGCTCATTAAAAGAACATTAGGATTGTTTTCCCACCATGTAAAGTAATTTTAAGCCATTGTGTCTTGTATTGGATCAGATAAGCAAAAATAAAACTCATATCTGTCAAGAAAATTGAAAGTAAAAATCATTTATGATTTCATTTTAGCTGTTTCATTGGAGCTGAAAATGAAAATAAAGAATATAAAGAGTGAAAGGCCCACTGAAGCACATGGCAATGAGGAAGTAGCTCTGCTGTTAGCAGGAAAAAAAGGCGAAAAAATACATTTTTCCTTTAGAGGCCAGAAACATTTGACAATCTTCACTTAATGCATGTCTAAAGAGTTTTTAAAGGTTCCATACTAACCTGCAAAGGAGTTCTTTTGTATCTATTTAATCCATTGATGGCAACACCCTCTTTGAGCAAAATCAGAACTTTGTCCACGTCTCCATTAGCTGAAGCATTGCAAAGCAGATCTATTTTAGACGCCATTCTTTTAAAAAGTGTATTCCTGGTCTTAATGGGAAGATCGTGGTTCAGACGATGGACTATGGAGGTATTTCATGAGGCTTCATCTCATCTGGCACCTCCTCTGCTTGCATCACCACATCTCTAAAGTGCAGTCAGAGATAATTAAAACAGCTTCAAATAATTTTAGATTAAAAATATGTTATTTTACTTAACATATGTTTGGAATAAGTAAGGGTCATGTTTCTTTCTTTTGTAAACGGCGCTTTAGCATATTTTCTTTTTTTCAGTTATCACACACACACACACACAAATAACAACAATTACACACACACACACACACACACACACACACACACACACATATATATATATATACACACACACACACACACACACACACACACACACACACATATATACACACACACAGACATACACAGTTTGATAGTTTGCATGTGTACCATATAGGCCCTCCAATAGTTTAAATCCCATTTCAATGTCATTTAACTTATTTTTCTTTCTCTTCAGCTTTTTCATAATGAAGCCGTTAGCCTGGCCTGCCAGACTCCTCCTCCGTTTAATTCTGCACAGAGGAATTCTCTGTGCAGGACGAGTTTGGCAGGCCAGGCTAGTAACTCGTGGGATCACGAACTACAACTAAATCATTTATTCTAGTCTAAATATTACATTATAATACACCATGGGGATTGCAAAAGCACCATCAACAGCACAGAATCGAAACAAAACGTACTCAAAAGGACTTTCGAGCAGTTAGATGCATTTGTCCTCCATTTCCTATTGTGCGCGCAAAAACCACAGAAGCGGATCAAAAGCATAAATAAGCAACTACAGTTAATGCGACAATAAAAAAAGCCATAAAATGCGCGATGTAATTAAGACGCGTGCCCGCTCATAGATACCTCGGTAAAACATGGCATGGGCTAGTTAATATAAAAACTGAGAAATATGCACACAACGAGCCTCCTTTCGTTTCCGAATAAACTTCAGAATTAAAATAATCCCAATCGCATCATCATCCGACTATGGGAATAATGCACTATAACTAGCCTGTTGTTTAAAATCGGGAAACGTCCACCTGAAACAAAAGGGTTGGTTTAAAGATGAAGATGAGAAGTATGATCCCTTTTGTCGCTTCGGTGCTGAAACAACTGACACATCAAGCGGCATCGTTTAAATTTCTGCGCCAGAATCTGATTGGACGTGAGAGAGAAGAAACCATCTTCACTCAACTGCGTGCCCAGGGCTGGCTGTGTGCGTTCAATGAAAGAGATTTTATTCCGACTTTAGATAAGCACGATTTATAACACTCATACAAGGCGGTGTATAGTCTGTGTAACTTCTTTAAATAACGAGACTTTTTTTTATTTTTATTTTAATACGTGTCAATCCACTTCCATTTCGCCTGCTCTGTCGCCCTCTGATGGGGATATTTAGTACTTATTTAATAATGTCATTGATCGGTTACAGACAGATCTAAACACAGGACGTTCTAGTGGTCATTTTGAGGAAAGGTGAAGAATGACCAGCGGCGGAGTTTCATTTAGCAAAATAATAATAATAATAATAAAAACCAAATAAATCGTTTTCTGTTTATTGACTATTATGGACAACTATTGCCCCCTTGCGGCTATTAGGTGGATTTGCTTTTGTTGTGCAAAACAGCATTGTCGTTGAAAGGTCCATTAAAAAAACGCCTTTACTATAATGTAATATGTGATAAAACACATTAAAATGTATGTAAGTCTTTTGGGTTTTCGAATAAAAATATACAATACAAAGCCACGGGTTTTCCATGTTTTTCATTCATTGATGTTTGGCTCATTAGAGATGTTGCCCGCTTGCAGGCATTTTGTGAATTTACACATTTTATTTGTTTACCTGCCAAATCAGAAAACACTTTTCTTATGATCGCGTTAGTTGTTAAAGAAATCAATAATTTATCTGCCTCATAAAATAATAGCTCATTTTGTCATTAATGTGAAAAGACAAGAAAGTTAATTGTACAAAGCTACAACACTTATTTACAAAACTGTTCGTCATTAAAAATGAAAGAAAACGAAGTATTTGTGATATCCTTACAATACTTTCAGATATTAGTTACATTTATACAACTGTCATATTTATTACAACAGCAAAACCAAAAGAGAAAAATTAAGACATGTCATGTTGGCTTTGTAAATGTTTAGTTTCACAATCTCTCAATAGATCTTAAAATATTCCTTGTCCGGTTCTGATCGCATAAAACTGAACACGATCCATCTGCACCACAAATAAAGTAGAAAACAATATATAAATAAATAACGACAGCTTCCGAACCCACTTTACGTCAGCCGTAAAGCAATGGGCTAGCTGACAAATGATGATATGAGATAACTGTGAACTGTAACATCACTTCACCGAACTTTGAGTACTTGGAGTGGTTAAATCTCCATTTCACTTGAACATCTCGTACTTGCCAACATTTCCCAGGCCGCCGGCTGAGAGCAGACAGTTTTATTTGTGTCCAGTTTCCTTCTGTGAGGCGGCGGAGAGGAATCGCTTTTAGCCAGTCATTGCCATGGCCTCCGACAACGTCGACAGCAACATGGACAGAGAAATGATTCTGGCCGACTTTCAGGTGTGTCGTTATTTTCTGTCTTCGGTGATCGATTCGTGTAGTGGTATTCTGTCTGCGGTTGTGTTTGTTTTAACGGAACGCCGTGAAAAACTTAGCGGAGCTGAGGTCGCTGTGATGCTAGCTCACCGAGCTAAAGCACCGACAGCTTGGTACCTGAACAGTTATTCACCCAGAGCCCGAGGCTCCAAGTAAACCACACCGAACTCAGCTAAACCATCAATAGTGTGGGTTTAGTTTGGTCGCTTAGTGAACAGACAACTTGGAGGGAGCAACGATTCACGACCGTCAACTTATTTACGCTTTGTCTCGTTTTACTTCACCCCAGATTTAGATCTGGGGTGAAGTGCCCTCCGTATTTGTACTGATTTTATCTTTTTATTAATGACATCCAACAACATGAACGGTGTAACTATAGGTCTGCAGACCTCCTTGTGTTTCAAATCAGCTTCTTTACTTTAACATCTGTCACAGCAAACCAGTCAGGCAGAGCCCCCCTCGCTAGACACAGAAAGGATGCTCTTTTACTTTTTTATTGCAGCATTTTATTATTCAGTAGTTTAAATGTGAGAACTGCTTTGTTCCTGACTGTCAGGCTAACATTAAAAAGGTTCTTTTAACTATGGAAGTAAAAACAAGAATAATGTTAAATCAGTGTCTCATTTTAAAGGTATAACTATGTTTTAAGACTTTGAACAACACCATTTTTATCCATTATTGTGTTTGTATTGTATTGGTGTGAAAATCCTTCCGTTTTCTGTACCAGCGTGTTCCTGTGTAAGGTCATGGGTAGCTGCTGTTTATCTGTAAAGCCAGGTTATGTTGTGCTAGATAGGTCGCACGTCCATCGCAATAATTTTCAACAAAACTAAGCAAAAGTTTAATGGAGTGAAAAAAATCCTTAATTTTCTTCTTTGCAGAAAAAGGCAGGATTCTGAATGAACTGAACTCTGATACAAGAGCCTCATGATAACATTAGTTGTGATTAAGCCACATTTTCTTGACACTTGTGTTTTGTCACCATAGTGCTCACTCCACTTTGCATATTCTAGCTTTTCGGTCTTGGTCATCTAAAACGGGCGTGGAAGTTTTCCATCACATAAATGGCCTGTATTTATGTAGTGCCTTCTAGTGTTGTACAACCCCCCCAAGGCGCCTTACAACTAACCCGTCATTGACCCATGCACACACATTCACAAGCTGGTGGTGATGCCCTGGGGTGCACTGACGGAAGCAAGGCTGCCGAGCACAGATGCCACTGGGTCCTCCGACCACCACCAGCAGGCAAGGTGGTTAGGTGTCTTGACCAAGGACACGACGACTGCCACAGACAGAGTGAGACGCAAGCCTGCAACCCTCCCTTTACGGGGCGGGCACTTAACTCCTCTGTCACTGTCAGATAAGCACGTTACTTCATCAAAAACGATTCAGTTATTTACTACACACCGATATTACAATAATGAATGCATGATTATCTGTGCAGCCCTTAAAAATGTCTATTTATGTATTCTTTGTTACAGCAGCAGCAGAATCTCATTTAATCTGTTTTTCTGTCTCATAATCATTTTTCTTTTCTCCCACAGGCTTGCACTGGAATTGACAACATTGCTGAGGCAATCACTCTCTTAGAGCTTAATAACTGGGACTTAGTGGTAAGTTTGTTATCTTTGGGCTTTACTCTCAGACATGCGGTCTTTAGTTCATTTAAAGTGAATGTGGGAGGGAGTCAACATACAAATGTTCCACTGAGATGTATTCCGTGATGTTTGTATTAACTCACGACGAGCCCCTCAACGTGGAGTACATATTGGAAGGGCTCGGTCTATTATTAGATTAATGCTGGCAGCAGGACAAATGCTGGGGACTCTGCAGCTGTGAATCTGATGACTTGCAGTTCTCCTGCAGTAGCTAGTCATTTTTGTAAAAGGTGAATTTGCTTGTTGGCACACAAACAAGCTGGGTGGAGGGAGTAGAATGGAAGTGTAGGGTCATCTGAGTTATTTAGCAGCATTTCTATAATAATTTAAATGGTGCAAAAAATCCCATTTTATTCATTTAGCTTCCAGGACAATGAAACCAGATTATTTTCTATTTCTAAAGAATTTACTGTTCTACTGAAGTTGTGCTTAAACATCCTCACTAACGAGAGTGTGGGAACGCAGCTTCTACAGGTCCTTCTCAAAAAATTAGCATATTGTGATAAAGTTCATTATTTTCTGTAATGTGATAAACATTAGACTTTCATATATATTACATTCATTACACACAACTGAAGTAGTTCAAGCCTTTCATTGTTTCTAATATTGATGATTTTGGCATACAGCTCATGAAAACCCAAAATTCCTATCTCAGAAAATTAGCATATCATGAAAAGGTTCTCTAAACGATCTATTAACCTAATCATCTGTATCAACTAACTCTAAACACCTGTAAAAGATTATATCTCAATAAACATAATTATTTGAAGGTTGACGTTTTTTTTGTATTAGGAACACTTTTCTTTTATTGGTCGGATGAAATATGCTAATTTTTTGAGACAGGAATTTTGGGTTTTCATGAGCTGTATGCCAAAATCATCAATATTAGAAACAATAAAAGGCTTGAACTACTTCAGTTGTGTGTAATGAATCTAATATATATGAAAGTCTAATGTTTATCAGTACATTACAGACAATAATGAACTTTATCACAATATGCTAATTTTTTGAGAAGGACCTGTATTTGAACAAAAATAACCTTTTTAATTTACAATGGAATAGTGGCTACAGACTTGCAGCACATACCACCAACCTGGTTTTACCTGTTGTATCGTGTAGAGTGGTGACTGTTCCAGAGAGAACCTACCAGCTGTACGCTGAAACAATAGCTCACTGCTAAGCTGACTGGTTTCATTTGTTCATCCAGTTGTTTTTTGTTCTGACCCGTCAGTTTTCTAATTCCACACGCTGTTTAGGATCAGATCCATCTTTCTTCTTCTCCATACCATAAGCTAATGTTTTATTGGGTTTGAGCAGTTGTGTGCTCTGTGGGACAGTTGCTCTTTAACAGCAGAGACTTGGTGACTGTTGCAATACATAAATATCATTGTGTTGCTGAATTGACTTCTGCTTTTATTACAGGCAGCCATCAATGGTGTGATACCCCAGGAGAATGGGATCTTGCAAAGGTAAGAACAATCTGTCATGTAGAAAGAAAAGTATCTGAGTGATGTCTGATAAATGGGAACAAATATTCACTCTAGGGTTAGATCTTAGGCTGCGTTCACACTGCAGGCAAAAGAGCATCAAATCCAATTTTTTTTCCCTTCTTGTGACCCATATCTGATTGTTTTACAACAATCTGAACAGCATAGATCCGATTTTTCAAATCCGACCCCTGTCTTTTTCATACGTGGTACTGATTCCGATACATATCTGATGTTTTTGAAAGCGAATGCAGTCTTAACGGTCATGTCGCATTAAATCCGTCTCCTTCGTCACTGAAACAGCGGAGGTGAGCGTCGTGTGTTGACGTTCCTGAGAAGAAGCGCTGGCAGAAGGATTCAGGAGTCTGTCTGGACTTCCTGTCAAGTTTTGGAGTTAAAAATACAGGAGAGCATGAGAACGGGAGCAGGAGGTGCTGCTGGAGCGAAGCGTCCCACCACCAATCTCTGTGAAGGGAGGGGTGGGGGTCTAGGGATGGGTACCGAATTCGGTACTTTTTAAGGTACCGACCGAATTCCACAGTACCGACCGAGCACCGATTCACTTCATTTGAAACGGTGCCTAGTTTCGGTACCCGTCCTTCACGAGAACTTGCCTAGACAGCTGCGCATGCGCAAGAGCGTTATGTCATCGGTCACTGCGAGCCAGTTGTAAACAGAGCAGCATGGTAGAAAGAACGCACGCTAAAGCTTGGGTCCACTTCACTAAATGTGATGGGTAACTGGGTGATGATGAAACCAGCGACAACGATCTAAGTGAGACATCCTCATCTTTATCTGCTGCGGTAGGTAAATATAATGTTTAAGATAACGTTAGCTTGATTTGTTAGCTTCCGATTCACTAATGGTGCGTTCGCTTTCTCCTCAGAAGTCCGAATTTCTGACTAGAAGAACATGAACGCGCTCTAAAGTTTGGCTTCACTTTACTAAACGCGACGGGTGATTGGGTGAACATGAAACCAGTGACAACGATTTAAGTGTGAGGCATCATCGTTTTAATCTGCTCCAGCAGTTAAATAAACTGTTTAAGATAACATTAGCTTCCTAAGCCACCATTGTTATCAGCTAATGGTGCGTTCGCTTTCTCCTCGGAAATTCTAACTTCCCAGTAGGAAAAATCAATTGAAAAAGGACGGTAAAAGGAACGATAATACACAGTGAACTTAGTTCACATTAAAGATGTTTGCTTCAATTTAATTATCAGCTTATAAAACTACAAGGATGATGTTAAAATATAAACAGTTGTATGTTATTTATCGTGATATTTATCAAATATTGTTATAGATTGAGAAAAATATATATTTAATTATAAAAGAGAATTAAAAATATTAAACACTCAAAAGTATCAAAAATTGGTACCGTTAAGTACCGGTATCGATTCGTAGGTACCGGGAATTAGTACCGGATCGATTCAAATGTCAAAGGTACCCATCCCTATGGGGGTCTCTGTGAATGAACTTAATACTGGAACATTTTCAGTGAAAAATAATTTAGGAATACGGCGGGAATAAGGAGTAAAATAGTTTATAGTTTTCACCCCAAAACGGGAGACTGAACAGGTGTGATCCTGATCCTGTGGATGAACTCTAAAGGCTTTCACATCACAACTTCACCTCTCTTGGTTCCGACTCCACTGAGTGTGGCTTCTTTTCTTCTGCGCATGTGGGTCACTTTGGGGCCATGAAGCATTCACACTGGAGAGAGTTTGATGTCACATTTCAGTCATAATGTAAACAGCCACACAAAAAACATTGCATTTATTTAAAAAAATCAGAAATGAGCATCAAGGCGTGCAGTGTGAACGTAGCCTTAGTCTCACCGGACGCGTAAGTGTTGCGTAATGTCTGCGAAGCCTAGTACGCAGTACGTTTCCAGAATGCTTCAAGGCTAGCAGTTCAGATCAAAATAAAAGTTGTGCAGATATGCAGTTGCTACGTCGGGGGGTGGGGGTGGGAGGGGTGTGTGTGTGTGAATGTGTGTGTGTGTGTGAATGTGTGTGTGTGTTTGTGGGAGGGGGGTATGGGTGGAGGGATGGTCACAGGATGGATTGATGAGCCAGTCATTAAGAACGGGATGTTTACGATGACTGGATGAGATTTTATTCTGACTGTACTTTTCAGCAGTGATTATAATTGCTCCTTTTTTGGCAAACCCTTATTGGTTGTTTTTAGTATGTGAAGAGCATTTCAAGCAATGTGGCAAAAAGAAAATGCCCTAGAAAACATCTACTATTCCACTTTTAACTCCTCATTCACATGAGAACCAGGCACTGTTAACTCATTCACTGCCAGCCGTTTCCTGATCGCGAAAGCCCTTCGCTGCCAGAGTTTTTCAGCGTTTTTACAGTTTTTGTAAGAGTCACAGAACGTTGCGCTCTAGGATGATGTCAATGCCAAAACAACCAAAGCAAAGAGGAGACTCACCTCTTACATCAGGAAGAATCCGCGCGTTTCGAGCGTTATCCGTTCTTTCATAATCCGTTGTTGAATTGTGATCGGCAGAAGCTTTTCCAATTCGCGCCTCACTTTTTTTTTTACAGCAGCACGCCAAAACGATCTCCTAACACATGGATTTTCCGCTTCCTGATCACGTGACGTGTGACGTACGCGGATGAAGATCGGCTTTAGAGCGGAGATGTTTGTTCTCATGGTGCGGGGGCTCGTTCTGACGCCCACACAGTAAAAAAAAAAAAATGCAAATGACGACTTTCGTCATCATTGGCAGTGAATGAGTTAACTAACTGCTGCTGTAGCATAGAGTTCATCCTTTGTGTCTGTATTTGAGGCAACACTTGGGCGTTTTAAACAATAGAACAAATTGACCTGAAGCCACATCTGCTTGTGTAGTCTGGAGTTGTAGAAAAGAAACAGAAATAGTGGTGCACACAGTTTTCTTTAGGACACTTTGTGTTCTTCTTTCCCCCCTCCCAACAGCTGATTGGGACCCGTGAATGCGGCACACACTTCTGCGCCCTCTCCAGCTGGAGATGTTTCTGTTGAAGCGTTTTATTTTGTGTACACGCTTGTGTGCGTGTGGAGTAGTGTGGTGTGGGTCCTTGGGCCATGAGAATATTTCAGCGCTCTCTGGAGAGCACAGATTGCTGGGAAAGGGGCTGGTTGGCAGCTCGACCAGCAGCCACCACATTTACTAAATGGCTGGCATTACTATGAGCCGGCTGGTGTTGCCCAGTAAACAGTGATGACGTGACCTGAGCTGGGGCCAGTTGGAGGGTACGCCCAGCACTCCACTCTAAATGCATTCCACTCTTTCTTTGTGTCCTCATTTAGAGAAAGTAAAGCATCAGAAGGTGTTTTTATTGGTTCTCTGGTGTGGACCGTTGGTCTGTGAACAGTGGGCTAAAACACAACAAAAAACATTTAAACCTTTCTGCTTCAATCGGTCATAAAAATTGATCTGCTGTACCTGAAGGCAACGGTGCAGATTCCCAGAAGTTTTCATTTTATTTTCCCAACGAAATGCAGACTTCTAAGTAATCAGTGCAGGAAAATCGATCTGCTGTTGAAGCGGCTGCTGGAGGAGATATGATGTGTTCGTGCATGATTGAGTTCATTCCTCCTTTGTTGTTCTACACGTTTGTTTGGTTGTGGTCAAAGTACGACTCAGGACGATGACCTTGTCCTGGTGGGGTTGTTCAATAAAACAGAGTCTATTGTCTGTAGTTTGTCTTTGCAGACTGCTGCTGATGACTTGGACTGAACAGAATAAAGACATAATTTAGTTTGAGGAACGTGGATGTAATGATATTAAAATTAGCTTTTGAGTATAAATGGATATATGAAGTAGGGGTAGACGATATATCGGGCCGATATTCACTATTTTTATACATCGGCTCATATGCCCTTAGTAAATCCGATTTAAAGTCGGGCACATCCTCGGGCAGCCCGGTGCTGTTGCAGAATTTAATTTAAATGTATTTTTATTTTCACTAATAACATCTATGTAATAAATGCTCTAAATGAACTTTATTTGTCTGACTTTAACACTGAGCAGTGCACAAAGTTGATATTTAACAGTTGGTTAAATTCAGAGTTTAAAAACGGATTTAGCTTCAGAAATTTTGTGCATAAACTGATGTTATTGGTGACATTTTAGCGTGAAAATAAGGTGTAAAATGTCTAGATATCAGCCATGAATATTGGCAGTACTTGTCGGCCATTGGCTGACTATTGGGCCATTCCCATCTGAACCGGGTCGGCCCGGGCCGGGTAGCATAGGTTGTTTACATATACAGGGTGGCCTGGTATTTTTCCGGGCCAACCAAGGCTCATTCTCAGCCCTCTTCTCGAGGGGGTCTGCTTCAGGCCGACCAGGGCCAACACACCCACTGCTGACAGCAAATTCACACCTTCCATTAGAGCAAGCCTCTGATTGGTGGGTAGAATCAGCCCACATGGACTTAAGACAAGGATGTGTGGAATCAACCGGGCCAGGCTGGGGCCGACTGGGGCTACCCGGCCCGGGCCGACCCGGTACAGATGGGAATGGCCCATATGTCTCCTACAAATTGGCATCAGTATCGGCAATAGAAAAAACTATATCGGTCAACCTCTACTCTGAAGGTACCTTTTTTCTTTTTTGGTTTTTATTCTAACTTTCTGATCTCAATCTGTTTTTTCCTCTTTGCAGCAGCTTTCCCAGTGAGGCAAGCCAGGCCACCATTTTCGGACCCCCCAGCCAGTCAGAAGCAGCCGACGCAGATGCCGGAACGGCTGTTCCTCCTCCATCTTCATCGTCTTCATCCTCCTCTCCTCAGTCGTCCTCGACATCAGCGTTCTGCCCAATCAGCCCCTCCTCCCGGCACATTGTAGAGCGCCAGTCACGGATGCTAAACTTCAGGGTGGAGTACAGACAACGCACTGTGGAGCTTGTGATTGAGGACAACAGCACAATTAGTGAGCACTACTCAGACATACACAGATACGTGTGATGGGTTCGCACTGTCTGTGGTTGAAAACAAAACAAAGAAAACAAAGAAAACCTACTAATCTTTGTCATATTTTGGCCCATAATCTAAAGGCCACCTAGTACGTTTAATCGTGTGCAGAGATGAGGGCTGTTATAGAAGAAAATGTCACAATTCTGCATAGATTATTCAGTAAATATGATTGTTTTCAATCCCTCACGCGTAAAAACTGGAATTTGATCGTGTTGTAAACATTTGCTGGGATTTAGTCACGGTAAATGAAGATGAAAGGAAACACTGGAAAACTGATGGAAATATTCATCAAAATAAGACATTTATGTAATTTTTGTTCAGCTGTTTTACTATAGATGACAGGAGTCGTTTTAAAAATGCAGTCATTTGAAATGCTCGTGTTGAGGCAGCGGTTGTGACGGCTGCATTTTGTCTGATTAAACTCACAGGAGGAATCAAAGACCTCCTGCAGACAGAGCTCGGCATTCCAGCTTCTAAAATGCAGCTGAAGGGATGGAAGAGTGGAGACGTCTCTGATAGTGTGAGTTTTTATTCTTCATTTATTTTGTAGAGGGGAAACAAAAATTTAAATAAAACATCACAGTTAAAGGGTGTGGAACACCGAAAACCCATTTTTTAAATGTTTTTTTTCTGATTATAATTTGTCAATCTGAGTTTTTCATGCAGGCTCAACATGAAAATAGCCTCCTGCATTAGCTTCTGATAGAAAATAGATGATGAAACTCTAGAATTAGAAAACCCTAACAGATCTACGTCACACTTTCACTTAACATTCATGGACTCACCCATTTTGACTCACAATGGGGAAGGCTGTTGTTTGTTTAACATCCAGGAAACGGCAGAGAACATCTCAGCTGGTAAAAGCTAACTGTTAGCATTAGCAACTCCACCACACGGCAGAACTCCTTCAGGCTTGTGTTATTTGTGGAGATTAAACATCAACGTTGAAGAGTGAACAGACTCGGTGGTAGAGTTATGTTGCTGTTAGCCAATCAGAGGCGAGATGTCCAAATATCAGGAACTAAGTCTCCAAATCCTGCCGTGTTCAACTCTCCTCTGATGTGACATCCTGCTACTTCCTGAAACAGGTATGAGAAATGTTGGCCACATGTGTGTTGTCAGCTCAGAGAAGTTAGCAGAAATATGGGTTTTTTACTATTGATCTTTAGTGTAGAACCAAATAAATAAAAAATCAGTGGCTCTGTGCTCTTTCTTGCTACACATTTATGTTTATTTATTTAGCAGACGCTTTTGTCCAAAGCGACTTACAAGTGATAATCGGCATGTTGACCTTGAGGCTAACACCATCAACAACAACACCAACAAACAATTTACAGTTAGTCGTAGGTGGCAGTGAGGCAGCATGATGAATCATGGAGAGGAGGGAACAAGGAGTGGACAGTAGAGAGGGGGGACGGGTACAGGGAGGGTGCTAGTTTAGAAGATGCTCTCTGAAGAGCAGGGTCTTCAGGAGTTTCTTGAAAATCGAAAAGGAAGCTCCTGTTCTGGTAGTGCTTGGTAGGTCAGTCCACATTTGTGGAACGATGCATGAGAAGAGTCTGGATTGTCCTGAGCGTGGTGTAGGCACTGCTAGCCGACGATCCTGTGATGACCGGAGCGGCCGGGCCGAGACGTAAGCCTTTGCAAGAGGATTCAGGTAGATGGGAGCCGTACCATCTCGGACTTTGTATGCTAGTGTTAGCAATTTGAATTTGCGTGCAGCTAGCCAGATGCACGAGAAGTGTGGGCGAAAGTGTGGTTAACCGAGACAGCAGATGGGGTAGCATTGTCACATGGTTAGATCCAGGTCTCAGTGAGAGCCAGTGCATCGAGTGACAGGTGGTTTGCATATGCGGTAATGAAGTCTACTTTGTTTACAGATGATTGGCAGTTCCAAAGTCCCATAGACAGGTGGGTGTCTTCGGGGGGATTTGGTTTTAGCGATCGGAGGTTTTGAAGGTTGCGAAAGCGGTTTGCTGTGTGTGGCCTTCCTCTGAAGCCAGTGATCACAGGTATAGGATAATGGCACATTTTACGAGGTATCGATAGAGCAACGTCTGGGTCGAGATTGTTTGCTCTGTGTATCTGCTCTGTGGACACGCACAGGTAGACACGTATGTCTTTACCCCGGAGTGTCTTCACACCGGAGGGGCTGAGACACATGGGCTGACGCTTCAGTTATGCCACCAAACGTATGCTGTGCTACTAGTTGGAAACGGGTGTTCATGCAGCGGCTGATTGCAATGGTTCTGCCATAGTTGCACGCGGATCCAGTGGGGATTGTCCAGTAGCAACAACAAAGGAAAACAAAACTCACAAACACGTTACCAGTTTTTGCACTGAAAGTGCCTAACCCAGTCATGCTAGCTGGTCTAAAACTGAAACCACAATTAGAACTACTAATGTCTTTAAAGAAGATTTTTTTTATCTTTAGGCACAATATGTTGCATTTTTGTTGTCCGCAGGTCTAAATCTCTTTAAGTTAATGGGACCATTTTGTTGTGTGTGTTTTCAGACCGTGCTGAGAACCTTACACCTGCCCAAGAACAACAGCCTGTATGTCCTGACCCCAGACATCGCACCGACTGCCAGCACCAGCCAAAACAGGTATTTACACTCCTGCAGTCACAGAGACTGTTGCATTTCTGTGTAATGTCTTCATATCATCTCCCCTTCCAAGGGAACGAACCAGGAGGTTCACATACAGGAAACGGTGATTTCACTGGTGATGTCAGTGCAAAAGTTAACACCAGGGGGCAGTCTGTGCTCACAGTCTGTGCAAACCTCACCTTCATTCATCTGTTAGGGAACATGTGACCCCTCATGGTAACTGTGACATAAAAAATTATCTCTTACTTCTGTTGTTTCACTGAAACGCTTTTCTCACTGAATGTTGAGTGACGTCTCATGTATCATCACACAAGTCTTGTTTATGCTATAAGTTTGCGACTCACAGAAACCTCACACTTTATTAACGAAGCCCACTGACGGTGAGAATTTCCAGTTTCAGCCAGCATCTTCCATCCATTGTAGCGAGTGCATAACAGCATTAGCGGGCCTTCTGTGGAAAAGGTCAGGCAGCCATGTTTAAAGTCACCGCAGTCATGCAGTCAGAGGTGGCGGCTGACTACACGTCAAGAACAGGGAAACTAGTAGAACTAGACTTGTATTTAAATTTAATTTGTATTTAAAAAACAGTTTTGGCTTGATATTTAACTAAATAGCTCAAAATGTTTGACTTATTTTAGGGTTTAGCAGTAATCATGTAGTAGTAGAGCCTAATTTTGACGTGCTTTATAGTGCAAGTTTAATTAGTTTATTTTTAGTCATAATAATAATAATAATAGTAATGATACTAATAATAACAATAATGACATTTTTAAACAGGCAGCTTTCACCCACACATCATCAGAGCTTGTGTGGAAGTCATCTGGCAGTCTGCCTGCTAGTTAGACTAAGTGATAGTTATATTATGTTGGCAGCTAATGGCCCTCATCTCCCCAGTCCTCCATCCCCTGCTCTCTCTACATCTTCTCCCCCCCCCCACCCCCCCCCCACCCACTAACTGCTGTGTCTTTTTAGCAGCGCCGTTGCCATTTCTCCAAGTGTTATCGATATCATTTTGAGTGTCAGGAGCTCATTATTCTGTCAGCTGTATTAGTGGAGGACAGTTGGGACTGAGGTGTGTGTGTGTGTGTGTGTGTGTGTGTGTGTGTGTGTGTGTGTGTGTGTGTGTGTGTGTGTGTGTGTGTGTGTGTGTGTGTGTGTGTGTGTGTGTGTGTGTGTGTGTGTGTGTGGTGACCCTGCTGTCATACAGGGAGAAGATAGGTGACAGATCACAGTGTATGAGGGGAGCGCCCCCCTGCAGAGCGACTAAACAAGCTGTTAGCTTGGAATAAAAATAAACCGCTCACACCGTAAAACCACTTTGTGCACACTACTGGCTTGCACTGTCTACAATTTGTTGCTGTAGATAATACTTCCCTTAAGTCCATGCCCAAGTGTAATGTCTGCAGGTAGGGAAGCACACTTTTATTATTGTCACACCAACTCCATGTGTGATAAATAAGACTATCTGATTTTATTGCTAATTTATCTCAAATAGCCGTCTTCAGTATTAATTACAGTTATCATCTAATATCCACTCTGATGTACTCTATTTAGACTTTTCTATTGTCTGTCTTGGATATTTTTACTGATTATCATCTCATTATGAGAAATTAAATAATTGGTATCCTTATTTTTGATAGACTTCTAAATCAATCTGAAACAGAATAAATACCTTTTACTCCAGCATAAATTATGCTGCTTTACCAATCTTGAGATACATTTATCAGTTTACATTAAAAATAATTGACATTTGTTGAGAGATTTTAATTATATTTTCATTTATTCATTAAAATTGTTTCTGAGAGGAAATACAAGCCATAATAGCTTTATCCCTGCCAACAGTGGAGCTTGGCTTATCGGGAATCTACCTAAAGCAAATGGACTGGTTATGTAGTCCTGCCCTGTCATTACGGTCTGGCTGAGCAAACTTCTCCTGGGTTGTCTTGTTTGATTAGAAATAAATCTGGAGGCTTTGGGAGATTTCCCCCTGAGCACCAATCCCTCTCAGGTAGTTATTTAGTTAGCAGTGCGATGTGCAGTTGGCGCACTGCAGCGCCGGAGCCTGGTCTGAAGGAGGTTATGCTGATCACTCCCCGTGAATACGAGAGAGTGTTGAGGAGGAGCTAATCTCCTGCATAAATGATGAATGCCTGATGAATATTTCAGTGGAGCCTGTTTCCTTTCTTGTTTATTCTCTGCTCCAGCTCCCAGCAAGCATGTTTGCCAAAGAAAGGTTATTTTAATTTGAACTCTCACAGACTTTAAAATTGCCAAAAAAAAAAAATTATAATAATCAAGGATTCATTAGCCATTATGTGTCGTGTGGTTTTATTTTTTCTTTTTTTTTCTGGTGTCTTGTTTATCCACCTGTGTGCGGGCTAACTAGGATTAGATGCATACAGCTTCACAGCTAGCCGGTTAGCGTAGCAACCTTGATGGGAAGGATTTGAGAGTTTTGGAACAAATGGCAGAACAAAACAGAGCAGAACCCGAATGGTTTCGCATTTTTATGCTGTGTTGTGGATGCAAAATGCGGAGGAGGTAAGCAGACCTTGTGTGTGCTCCATCCGCCCCTCTTTAGACGCACAGCCAGGCAGCATATGTTCTCCTGGTCAGTGTGTTTTCATCTATTCTGACTCATTATGCTGCCAGGAAATATCAGTTAGAGCTTTGGGAAAATATGGATGACCGTGTGTGTGTGTGTGTGTGTATTTATATATGTGTATTTGTGTTTTTTAGCACATGTCACATTGTGTGCATGCATGCGCCTCTCTGTGTCTGGCAATACTAGTTTAATAAGGTCTAGAGTCTGCTCTGTGCCACTGGGACTTAAATCTGAGGCGATGGGCTTACATCAGAATGAAACCAATCTGTTTAGCCTGCTCTTCTCCCGCTGCACCACGCACCATTTTTGCTGTCCATAAAGTTAAATGACATTTTCCTCCCTGCACCCTCATGCCCTGTCAAGTGCCTCCAGAGATGTCGCGGGCCGACCTAGATGTCACCGACTGTGTGTGTTGAGTGAGAAAGAGACCTTCGATGGCTGAGGCAAACACAGACACATCTGTCTTTCAGCCCCTTCTCTGCCCGACGGCCCTGCTTCAGTCAGTAGACGGCAGCTTTTAGAGCATCAGGGGTAAAAGCAGCCCAGACAAAGGGATATTAAGCTCGAAACATGCTTGTTCTGTTTATATATGAACCAGCGGGCCTCTTCAGACAGATGGCAAATGACATGAAGTGACTCATTATGAATGGCAGGGTTTTTACCCCCCAGCCTCCCACAGGATTCACTTGATAATTTAGGTGGCTATATTTGTCCTAGAGAGCATGATAAAAGATCTGGTTTTTTTAAAGTAAATCTTGAACAGAACTCAGCCCACGCACACACACCAAATGTTTTGTCGGCCTGCCACAAACCACTGATAAGATGTTCCTTCTTTGCTTGGAAGGACAGAGTAACACTTCCACTCAGTTTACCCTCTATCTCTGCCTATTTAGGAGTTTAGCTGCCTGCCAGCAGCAGCTCGGGACCATGTCCAAACATAATCATGATATTAGCTAGATCCTTATTTATGTGTCTCTACCCCTTCCATTTCTCCTCTCCTTCTCAGACACACACCCGTTGTTTTCCTCCTTCTGCTCAGCCCCTATTACATATGCATTCTTCCTTCCCACTCCACACATTTCCAATCTTCTCCAGTTAGCTACAACAAACATTACATTTACATATTGATTTCGCAGTTTTAGTCAATGTAAATATGCTGTCATTACAGTAAATTTGAGCTTCTGTTAACATAAGCTCGTCCAGATCTGCACAGATTAAGGGTGTGATTGCATAATTAATGTGTGTGCTACATATTAATTCCCTCATCCCTCTCTTTGCCTCAACTCTTCCTTCTCTCCTTGGTTTCTGAGCCCTGATTAAGTGCCTGTTTCGGCCTTTAAGCCTCCCATTGCTATTCACCCTCACAGACCGAGAGTTTGCTCAAAACGCTACTTAACCTCACAGCTTATTGTAAATGAAGCCTCCAAAAGTTGATTCCCCCCACCTCCTCTTCTCTAGCTCTGTGTCTCAGACGTTGCTGTAAATTACTTTGAGAGTTTTCACTCTAGAAGGAACGTGTCAGAGTGGTATTCGTTCGTTTGTGTTTTGCAGGAGAAACTAGTTTAAAAAGTACAAAAGTGGAAGGGTCGTATATAGGACTGAACGATATCTTGAGGTTTTAAAATAGTGATATATTTTAAAAAACAACAAGACACAAGTAAGGTTTATATTGATCTGAATATATAACCAGTGATTTTCTAGAGATGGCGGGCGTTGCTAACGCTATGTTGCTGCTACTCCACCTCTAAGCAGCCATCCTATTTACTCTTGTGCCTCCGGTCGATCACGTGCTGACAAAACTTGCACAAAAGTCGTTTGCTAGATTCATAAAGATCTCTAGTTGAATGTTCTACCCTAAACTTTGCACTTAGCTTTGCGGTTTTAAATTTCTCATGGGGATGTTTCTGTTTTCACCATGACTGACGGGTTTTGTTTTGCCTGTTTGTGTGAAGAGATGGGCTTAATAATATAAAACTCAGTTTTAGAGGTTGTTTTTCCCCAATGATGCAAATGATTAATGAGGCTTTTTGTGTTTCATTCTTTCGGTTTTCATTGCATAATGTCCTTTTCACAAAGTCAGCTTTGATTTCAAAAACATTTTTTTGATGGCTGATTTATTTCATAACACTTTTTAACAACATTTTTGTCCGTCAAGACAAACAGGGTGGAGCCAGTTTGTGATTGGCTGTTCATTCGATCAGATATAAGCAGTCAGACATGAAGTATCGAATTAGGCTCTTCACTGTGCAATACCTTCTATGCAAGTACCTTTGTTAAACAGTCAAATTTTGGTTTAATAGTCAACGGTGCTAAGGACTTTGATATCTGGAAGGTGCAATTCAATTGTATTTTTATCTTTATTTCTATTTTGTATTATTATATAACATTTTCTGATGCTCTGTAACTTCTGTCGGTGTTGTGCTGCTTTTTTTGGAAACCGAATTTCCCAAAGGAACTCACCCGAGGGATTAATAAAGTTCTATCTTATCTTATCTTATCTTATCTTATCTTATCTTATCTTATCTTATCTTATCTTATCTTATCTTATCTTATCTTATCTTATCTTATCTTATCTTATCTTATCTTAGGCCTGAAGGTGCATAACATACTTACGTGCGCAAATGAGCTAAATCATATCTGGCGAGCCAAAATTCAGGAAAACTGAATGACGTTTGAAGATTAGCCAGTGGTTTTTCAGGTCACATCCACTGTCTTGATTGACACACATTTAGCTGAAAAGTAAATTTGGCATAAATCAACCAAACTTGGCTTTGTGAAAAGGTCATTGTGTGATTTAAAAGGACAGCAGTAGCTCAGGAAGTAAAGTGGGTTATCCAGTAATTGGAAGGTTGCTGGTTCGATTCCGCCTCCGACTAGAGAATGCTGCTGTTGTGTCCTTGGGCAAGACACTTAACCGGTGCTGGTATGTGGTCGGAGGGACCGGTGGCGCCATTGTTTGGCAGACTTCGCCTTCGTCAGTGCGCTCCAGAGCAACTGTGGCTACATCGTAGCTCATCCTCACCCCCATATGAATGGTTGAATGACTGACTGTGTTGTGAAGAGCCTCGGTCGGTCATAGAAGAGGCACCATACTAAAACCGGCCATTTACCATTTTTTTACCGTGAAAACTGAAAAAATTCAATAAAAACGTCTCAATAATAATTTGCATTATTATTTTTTAATAGTTTATATTAATATGCACATTTTAATATATTTATATTTATAATGTAGAGCTTAGAGTTTTACATAACATTCTGTTATTTCATTGTCAGATCACGTCATAGTCTAGTATTTATTCATGTAGATACATATTTCATCATGTATGATTTATTTAATAGTAAAAGTATTTGTTGGTGAAATGAGTGTTGACTGAAACAAACTCACTCTACAAACAGGACAGAGCTGTGCTCCTAAAATAAACAGATAAATACATTCACCTGCCACAGAAAAAGTAAGGCTGTTGGTGTTTATCTGAGATCAGTTAAAGGTGGTCGATCTCCTCATCTGTATTTAATGTCACAGTTTAATCCATTTCTAAGACACGTATAGGTCTATGTAGGCTCTGGCTGGTTTACTGTTTAAAGGGTTTGCTAATGCAGACTGATGGGCTCCATGCTGTTACGGTGCAGGTGGTCATAGTTGTGACAGCCTGTTTCTCTGAGTAGGCTTGTTAAGACACAACCAGTAAAGTGGACGACTGGCCCCTGGAGGAGGCACCCACTTCGCCGAGGGCCAGCAGGCCACCAGACAAGTTTCAGCTTGCCTCATCTTTGACTAGGAGATCATGTTTGTCCTACTTAGTTTCTTGCATCATTAATCTGTGTTGTTCATCACCCAATCTCTTTACCTCTTTATTTAGTGCTCTCCAAGAGTCACTAAACCAGAACTTCCTGCTGATCGTCAGCCACCGCGAGGCCCAGAGGGACTACAACCTCAACTTTCCTGGCTCCAGAACCATCCAGGAGGTGAGACACCAGAACAGCATCCATACACAGTGGTGTTCTGCACAGAAACACAACGGCATTCTCTGTAACGCACCCACATGCTCTCACTCAAGAAATATTATTGTACCTGATTCTCATTTCCTTATAACACAGCTTTCCATTTATTTGCCAAACATTGCTAGTCTATCTCCGCCATCGATTCATTATTCATCACAAATGATCACATTTCAGAGCACATAATTACTCTCACAGCTGCGGTCTTGTACAACCCCCTCTCTTCCTCCCACTCCCCTCCCCTCACTTCCCATCTCTCCCCCTCCATCTCTGCAGACTGCTGGGAGAGAGGCACTTTAAATGACTGAACACTGTTTGATCAAGGCATGCAGGAGCACTAGAAAATTATTCATTTCCTCCATCTAAAACTAAACAGTAGATTTGGCTATCTATGAAATATTAATCCGTTCTGATCCTGGACCTCGTGTGGAGGTAGAACATCTCACTGGTTATCCCGAGGATGGATTAAAGGTCAAGCAGCACGGAAATATGAGTGTGCAACTGCTTGCCTATGCAGATGATCTGTTATTGTGTTTGTGTGCAATTTAGCGTTTGTGAATTGAAACCAATATTTGTTTGCTCATACACACACATTACTGCCCTTTGCTGCCCCGGCCTAACCCCACATACAGAGGGTGTCACGCATATTTCACTAAGTTTGTGAAATTTCATTATTAACCTTCGCTGATATATTAAAATTACTTTTCTGTTTTATTTATATATTTTTTTTACTGTTTTGTAATGAATTCTTATCTGCTGTAGACTGGAATTTATCAGTTTGAAGTAAAGCTGAAAGCTAGTGAGCGGAGCAAATCTCTGCCCACTTAAATTTTTTTTACAGGGCATTAATTGGTATATTCTTGCTAATTTTATAACATGATTGGACACACCTGCAAGGTGTTGAAATTGATTCTGGATTGTGTTTCAGTATTAAAGTTGTAGGGTTTGGTAAATTGAGTGCTTTAAGAGCTCAATATATATTACCTCTACTTATGACCAATAAGCTGTGATACTCTATATAAATATAGAACATCAACCTGCTTGGTCTTTACTGTGTTTAATCAGAAGATTCTAGGATTCTTTATTCAGGGATTGTAAACACTTCGTTTTGATTCAGAAAAGAGTCCAGTTTATAAAAGTAAGAATTTATTTTTAAAACAATTAAAACATGACAGGTGAACTAACATTTACTGTGAGTGGATGGATCTAGATGGAGCAGGTGTAGTGTATGGTGCCTATGTGTGAATGCGATGTTATCAGAACCTCTGTATCTAGGAGAGCTGAGTCCTGGATGTAAAAGAATTTGGTTTGTGTTAAGCTATGAAGTTGATTATTATCAAAAGGCATCAGACGCTATCTGTGTGTCTACTTCACCCGTTCTCGGAGACCCTCTTAGTGGATCCGAAGGTCAGAGAGGTCAGATGACCTCTGGCACCGAGGGTTGTAGAAACTGTAGTACCGACTGTCCAGTCCAGAGATGTCTCGGGTCACGATAGATGGATGGAACCACGCGTCTGGGACTCTGAAGGAGTCTAAACAATATCAGATTGTTCCGCAGGAACCGTTTGCTGTATCCGCTTCACAGGTGCAAAAAGATTTTGACAGCGTGTCAAAAGCTTTGATGGGTTAAAGAGGGTTTTGCTTCAGATGGCCGGTCTGAAGCTTTCTCTAGAACTGATGAATCACCAGCGTGATCCAGTTTTAATGTTCTCATGTTATGATTTGTGTAGCCAACCAGAGGTTGGCATGTCGAGGAATGTTACCAAGACAACCTCAGAAACATGCCTTCTTTGATACCGATGCTCTGATCTGGGGTAAAGGGCTAGCTATGTGTCACGCGTTTGACTTAATTTTACTTTGTCCTTGTGTGAGTGCAAATGGTGATGACCTTGTCATATCAACATGCTGAAACATATTTCAATCAATGTAATCATAACATAACATTCATTTCAAACTTCAATCACTCAAGCAGAGATTAATGAAAGCATTTCATTATATTATAATTATTATAAGTAGCAATAAACAAACGTTTATTTAATGATTATCTAACTTTTAATTTTTAAAAGTTCATATTTAATTTAAGAAATCATTCTTTGATTTAGCAACTAATTCGAGCTGCAAGTGTTCCTTATTCAGAGGCATGAAGAATCATGTAGGATGGTAAGGGAAGCTTGGACCTTGAGGAGAGAACGTCATTGTTGACAATACATTATCATGTGTTCAGAGCTGCAGAGAGGCTCTGAGCTCCAGCTGATGGGATGAAGGCAGGCCAATTTAAAGGGAACACATGCAGTCTCATGTCTCCATTTTGACCAGATGTTGAAGGGTCAAACTGTACCTAAAAACTGACCATTGCTGGACATTACGTAGTGTAAGTAATCTTCACATTTTAGTTGTGTAAAATTTTTCTAATCTGCTTCAAATTAATTACATTTTTAAAGTTTTATCCTTTTTTATAGATGTCAAAAATGAATTTTTTACCTGGTCCTCCTATAATTAGCTGTTAAGTTGATGTCACCATGAACGTTTCTCCCTGAAACAAATTTTCCCTAAACTCATCAGGGTGAAAACACATTTTTCTGTCTTTAGATGTGTACATTCTTGGGAAAGAGCGACATACCGGTCCAGTATTTACCAATCTTTTCTATATTGGCACTGGCCAACATAGCTTTTTAGAACAGCTGCCTTAAAAACAGGCACTTCCTTGGGCAGCCTGGTGCTGCTGCCAATTTTGATTTAAATATGTATTTACATTCCTGAAAAACACTTGCTTAATAAAGGCTCTAAAGCAGTGGTTCTCAACCTGGGCTCTGTTACCACCCATTGGATGTATAAAGTCCAGACAAAATAGCCAATAGTGCAATCGAAACTCTGTGTAAGAGGCATAACTCATTATGTCTGTATAAAGTTGTAGCTGCCCCTGGCACCATGAAGAAATGACTGAGAGCCTTCACTGGTGCATAGACCTGTATGTCTTTCCTTTCGTCCTTGTTATTCAGTCTGCACTTTACATCTCTAATTTGCACAGCGAAATCTGAAAAGGACAACATTCGAAAAACACATTTACAAATTACAACACAAAATCACCGAAATACAATTCATAAGAAATGTGTATGAATTACAAGGCATAAGCACACCTTGCCCTGCTGCCCAAGGGTGCTAATTAGAAGCCCTTTTAACAAGACACACCATGCCGGCAAGTCGGCGTAATATTACCACAACGGTGTGTCTTATAAACCTGCCATGGTGTTGCGTGAATTTTGAGGCGTTTGTTCCACCTTGCTTGGTAGTAATATTGCGGTAATTGTCCACCTTATAAATGGCGATTGTGCCTTTGTTCAACAGAGGGAGGTGTCACGATGACATAGGGAGTTGATGCCGAGCTCCGGCTGGCAACTTTATTGAAAATGAAAGTGAACACTGGCAGTAAGTTTTGCTTTTTGAACAAAATCAGCTGAGATGACAAACTGGAGTGCATTCATCACATCACAAATCCACTAATACTAATATTGCTGCCCTCACCCTCTGGAACTCACTCACTCCACAGCTGCTCTGACCTCTCCACCTTCACAACTCTTCTCAAGACTCATTTCAAATCAGTTTTAAAGTCTACTTTTCATTGTTGCATAATCTGCTTGTTTTATCTGGATTTATACAGCATCTTTTGAGTGTTCAGAAAAGCACTTGATGAGTAAAATTTGTTGCTAATCTATATTATGACCTAAAAGCTGTCCTACTGTGGTATCCCACCTGAAGACTGAACTTCTGCTGCTGCAGCTTTTATGGCCCTTACACACTAGCATCAGCTCCACTCCACCTGGACCGGGTTGAGAGTTGTAGATGTTTTTTCAGCCCTCTTCCCGAGGCGGTCTGCCTGGAGCCGAACAGGGCCGACACACAGGGCCTTGAAGACAGGCCCCTTTAGGAGCGGCTTGTTAAAAAAAAGTAACGATCGTGGCTTCAATCACAATAAAAATCAAGTTATGTCTAAGATAAACAGAAGTCCGTGGCAGCACAGGGACCGCCCCCATATCCTCTTAATGCTACCATTGCCTTGTCTTTTATAAAAAGAACATGATTGCGCCACATTACTGCCACTGGTAATGTGCCATTCTTCTGACCACTTATAAATGACCTATGGCTCCCTGATGCCGCCATGGAGTTGCGGCAAATTGACGCCATTGCTTTGTAAAAACGGCTAATGATACTGGCTCTGCATATGGTAGCCAAGCTGCTGCCCACTCCATTTGATAACTGAACAAAAAACAAACCAAGTAAGCATTACGTGAAAATATCACCGAAAATATACTAAATGTTGTGAACTTAGGTGGGGATGAAGCATTTAACTTACAGCTTAAAGCGGCGTTGACCTATAACTTTTGTAGACCTCAAAATAGTGTAGTCTTTCTCCAAGCCAAACAATTTGGTCACATCTTTTTTCTCACTTTCTACAAGGGTGTGGCTACCTTTATAAATCTTGTAGCCCAGTCATGAAAACCACTATCAACTGCACGGCTGACAGTTACAAAAGTTTTTAATTAGTCACTTTTATTTGTGTGCATGTCAGTAGGGCCCTGGCTTGTCTTGGACACAGGAATGGGGTTCCTCATGAAAAAGGTTGGGAGTTACTGCTCTAAAATATTTTTGTCAACTCGCATTTCTTATATTTAATAAAGGGGCCGTTTATTGATTTGTCTGACTTTTGTTACATGTTTGAGTGTATTGTCTACAGTTAGGGTTCAATATTTGGGTAAAGTCTATTATTAGTGACGTTTGAACATGCAAATGAGGGGGAAATAGTCTAGATGTCCGCCATGAAAATCATCTAAAAATTGGCATCATGTATTTGCTATCAGCTGTGTGTGTCAGGGTGATAGAAAAACCTGTACCGCTTTATCTCTAGTTCGTTCCTCAGCTGTCCGTTTAAAAAAACTGTTAATATAGACGCCAACCGATATGGGTTTATTTAGACCGATGCCGATACCGATTTTTAAAGAATTTTTGTGGCCGATGGCGGATTATCAAGGCAGATATGTACGTGTTAGCACCACATGATTGTGAAAGACAACTGAACACTCACTGTGTGCAATATAAATAAAATAAGTCAATAAATCTCTTAATATTTATTGACTTTCAAATGTGAAACAAACTCAAAACAATTAAAAAAAATGGTGTGTTGGGGTCCTTTAGGGCCTTCTGTCTAGTAGTGGTGACAGTTGGCCACACAGGTGCCTGATTTTTTTAAATATATTTTTTAATCAGCTTTTAAAAATAATTTTGGCCGATATAGAAAAAATGTTATACATCGGTCTGCTTCTAATTGAATATTTAGTTGTGCTTTATCCAGACCATTTGCTCCCAGGAAACAGATTCTTTCCCAGTTTTTGCAAACACTGTTGTTACTTCCTGATTCCTCTGTGCGTGAAGATTACTCTAATAACGACCAGGCTGCTAACTAGAGTTTGTAATGGTGCTAATTGATCAGATTAGTAGGAGTAGCATCTGAACTGGAGGCGGCCAGCCCTCCCTGGACATCCATCCCTTTTCTGTAGCGCTCCATTTTCTCTTCCCTTCATCATCTCTTTTTTTTTCTCTCACTCTCTTCTCAGGCAGATGGTTTTGATGAGCACCCACTGTGAACCTTAAGTGTTTCTGCTGGGATTACAAACACTGGGGAGTGGCCCCTGCGGTGTGGGAGGGGGGCCACAGAAAAGAGGCAAAGGCCTGTTAGCTTGGTGGGGGTGCTGTACAAAGCAATAGGGAACAGAGGGGGACAATGTGGGCTTAAACAGGCCTCCATGTCACCACCTTTTCCTTACACATGTTCCTCTTTAGGCACCTGAAGGCTCCCTGCTGTGAAAATGAGACCTAGAACCGGCAAATATCAAATGTAGAGATGCAAAAGTGCAGTTGCCCGCTACAAGATCGATAAAGGGTGTCAAAGAGTAGAGGAGGGTGTATACTTGTCTAGTGATGATGAGGGACTGCATTGAGAAAATTCTGACTGAAAATTGCTGGTAAAAAAAGTTGTCTGTTCTAAAAGTAGAAGGAAACAAAGAAATTCAATTTTTGGTTCTTTTTTAAACACAGATAAGAGCGTCAGCTCTGAAGATGTTTGCAGCCGCAAACGAAACGTCAGCAAGGTAAAGGAAAACCTTATCTGTGTTTAAAAAAGAACCAAAAATGCAATTTGAAAACAAACACAGCAAGAACGTACAAAAGATGTTTAAGGAAACAAAGAAGCAACTCTACGTTTAGCCTCTCTGCTCAAACTGTGTCCACAGACATCTTTCTCTCGACATTCTTCCTCTTCTCTTAGCTACTGAGCGATGCATCTTGCTTTTGCATATCAATTGGGATAGCTGTGTTTTGTTTGTTTTTTTGCCCAGCTTTGCCTTGTGGCTCTCAGGGAACTGCCCATACCCATCTCTTTCTATTCCTCCTTTCTCCATCTCTCTCTATCCCAGCGCTCCTCATCCACCTTCTTTCTTCTCCTCTCCACGTAGACTCTGATTGGCGTAACCAGACAAGAGTTTGGGGGTAAGTTGCTGGCTAGCGTCTGAGCTAAGCTGGAAAGCAAATGTTTGCCAGGGAAGTACCGGTTAGAATAGGGATGGCTGCTTGGCCCTGGGCCGTCCGTGACCAGACCAGTCGTCGTGGGGATTTCTCTGGTGCACCCCCCCACCACCAGCCTGGCCCGGGCCTCATCCCCTGCTCTGCAGCTGGGGGGGGACATAGGAACCAAATGTAGACTGGGGCTACAGAGCTGAGAAAAGGAAAGCTGGATGGAAAACAAAATTAAAAAGGCATCTGGTGCTTAGAAGAGATGAAGAGAACGAACAAGAGAGAGAAAGCTTGAGACTGTTTAATGGAAACCTTTCCTTCTCTTTGATTTGCTTCCAGTCAGGGATTATAGGCAATTGGCATTTACAATGATTGGATCATTAATTTTGCCGTGAGACTATTGGCCAGCAGCTCGGCACCACGGCTAGTCCCCACAACGCTGTAGATAACTGACTCATGCGCCCATTTCAAATTAAATTCCTCGACTTTTACACAAACAAGCTGCTGATTTATTAGCGTTTTATAGAAGTTTGTTTATTTTTCTTTATGTATCAGCTTCTGTATGCCCAAGGCTACCTGATGGATATGTTTAGTGATTCTCCAGCTCCTGATTCTCAGTGGCATGTAAAGATTTTCCACATTTTTCCCTTTTGTGGCTAAAACAGGTTTTAGTTTGTAATAGAAACCAGAAATTTTGACGTAAAAATCTGACATTTATGGTTGGGGAGAGATTAAATATAGTTGAATGTGTTGCAGCTTCCCATGATGTGGCCGTTGTGGTAGACAGGGGGCAGCATTAGACAGTATGAGGGTTATCACAAAAAATCATCAAGTTACCAAAACTGTCAACCTGCAGTTGGGTTGATTTTTTTTCTTTCATTTTTAAACCACAAATACCCAATTTTAGCGTTTTGCTGCCATATGGTTTTAACCAAATTCCCATAATTGCTCCATATTTCCTACGTGTCAGGAGGAAACGGGATGACTTTGTGCATATTCTAGCTGTGTAGCTTCAGGTGGGCACGCCGGCTGTTTAGCTGTTTTTTCTTTCTGCGGTGGGATCAGATTGTCCTCCACCAGATGTCTTTGACTGTCTGTCTCCGCTCCACTTCGCTCAGCACCTCTCACCTTCACTCTCTCTGTGGTTTGTTGTTTCTCTGCTGCTGCTTTAACCTCTGACTGCAGCCTCTTCATTACTAGTGTTTATGCCTCTCCTTTCCTCCCATTTCCCCCTTTATTCATCGGCCAGCCAGCCGGTCAGTCAAATCCCTGTAGTCTGGCTGGTCAAACACAGATATTACACTCTGTAATAACACTGGCCACCCGCTTTGACCCCAGCCTGCTAGCTCGGCCATAGCTTCTCTTCATAAGGAAAGACACCGAGTTGTGTGATGTGGGATTTACAAGAAAGAAGCAAAGACCGAGCCGCTCATTTATCATTGTTCCTTTCGGCTTTTTTCTGATTGTTTGTACTGTAAATTGCTTTGCTCTGCGAGGCCCAGCACAAATATAATATTATTTCTATGAGAGGTTGATGGTTTAGGTGAAATATTTACTTTTCTTGATAAAAAAAGATAAATTCAGGTGTAATTATGTCTGTGCTGACAGACCGCGACAAGTACATACAGTATATATCTAAGCGAAGGGCATTAAAAGGAGAACAACTCCATATTTTTTTTATACCCTAAATTATTACAGTTTAGTGCTTTGCAAATGCTTTATGCCTTTGATGTTACAGCTTGAAGCTTTCTTTAACTTTCCAGCTCTGTGAGCAGCAGTTATGATTTTGTCTAAGGATCCATCTCTCCTCGGTGCATTTTAAAAAGACGGGATTTGTCCCGTGTACAAAGGGATCTTTGCTCCACAATAGGTGGTTTTTTCAGCATCAGCGTCCTGCCCCGCGGGCTCGAACAGCAGAATTGTGCCGAACAAATGCAGTAAAATCCACCATCGTCGGTGCTCAGACACTGACGAGGCTTTGATCAGCTTTGACCAGCGCACATTAGGCTGCCGTTAGGGCTTTAAACCAACAACCCACTGGAGGGTGTAACGCGGCGCTCGATGGGACAGGCGCTAACTGTTTAAAACCGAGGAATGTTATTAAGTGATGCAGATACAGCGTCTGCGCTTGAATGGGAGAAGAGAAATACTGTTCATTTCAAAGTGTGGAGTTGTTGTTGCTGGGAATTAGCTGTGGCATCCGAGGAATGCCGATAAAACTGGCTGTCTTTTTTTTCCTCTTTTTTTACCTTGTCTTTCTTTTTCACTCATGTCTTCTGTCAATCTCTTGCTAATTTTCTCTAACATTTCTAAATAAAAGACGGCTCTTACCATTTGCAATATAATTAGTTTATTCCCTTCTCTGAGACAATTTAAAGGAACATTATCTACTAATAATGAGGCAACAATTAGTTTTTCAGACTAAGAAAAAAAAAACCAAACTGAAATCTTAAGAGTAAAAGCTTTTTGAGCATCCTCCGCTGTCTGAGTTATGTTGGGAGTTTTGTTTGTCATTTATATATAATATATAACTAACTATCTCTACTTTTCCTTAGGTGAAGAGGAACATTTCAGACTTGACGAACATCCCAGTCCGGCATCAGCAGTGGGAGGGATGGCCTGCATCAGCATCTGATGATTCTGTAAGAGAACACATACAAATGTAAAAAAAAAAAAAAAAAGGCTCAGATTTAATATTACCAACACAAACTACATCTTAATCCCTTTTTGTCTCCATCACCATAAACTTAAAAATTCTGCTCACGTTAAAATGCATTACCTTTGGATGAACACATAATTTGAACACTGTGGTGGAAACTGTTCCACACCCTTCAAATCCCTGTGGAAACCCTCTGTCAGAAGCTCTGGAGTAAGATGTTCAAGCTAATTAAGATGTCAAAGACTATCCCGTCCTGTGTCCTCTATCTGTGGACATTAAAGCTCACATCATTGAGTCCCGCTGACCTCTCCGTCCCACGGTTGCTCTTCCCAGCCATTCAGTCAAACCGATCAGAAGCCGCCCTCATACAGAACCTTGAGGAACCTCTGACCTCTTTTGTCTCACCCCCTCTTTGACAGCATATGTGTTCCCATGCTGATTGTTTGGGATGGTTTATCATGCCATATTGAGAAGCTGCTGGGCACACATTCTTGTGTTAACCTCTCGCTAATGTTTTTCTTTTAGATCTGTGTGACGGTGTTTCATTTGGGTTTTGTTGTTGACTTTGTTCCATTTTTAGTCCATACACTGTCGCACATGTGTCCTTTGCCAGGACTGACTGTAATAATAGTGGCCAATCATCATTAATCGGAATGTATTTTTTTATTTGTTCAAGGTTAAAATCTTTATTTTTGAAATATTTTTGAGATGTCCATTTTCAGAGTCATCTGGTGTAATCAATACAAACTTTCTTTGCACAAAGATGGCCAACTTTTATCACCTTCAAACATTCTCACTTTGATATTAAAGCATTTAGGGAGATTGTGTGCCCATTTTTCAAATGTACCTGTTTTTGCAGACCTGAGCTCCTATCTGTAGATATATTGACCAAATACCATGAATAAATTTGAGCTCGCTGTGTCAACAAAGGCTCAGTCCTCAGCTAACACACATCTGCAGTGTGTGCTTTTTTCAGGTTTGAGAAGATATTAAAAAGCATTGAGAAGTGAAAGACAGAAGTGTAATAATGGCCTCTGCACTAGCCATAGCCCTCTTATTGAAACGTCTGAAGGTATTAACAGAGAAAGCCCGGGGCTTGGATGGCCTAGCAGGCGGGTGTGTGGAGCCAATGCTAGTGTCTAGCTCATTAGCCCAGTCTCATCTCTTGGGGTTTGGGCCAATAAACGCTGCAGCTACAGGCCCAGGATTACTTTTAGCTCTATGCACCATCCCGCTTACAGAATCGATAGTTCTGCTTTATCTTCAAGTATGTGGTATCTCTGTGGTTACCTGCACATGCATGTTAGTGTTTGTGCATAATTGCATTTGTATATTGTGTCTTCCTCATTGTGTGCTCTGTGTATTGAACCTCGATACTTCATTACTCTAACTGAGCTGTTTGTTACACATCACTTTTAAAACTTTGACAGCTGATATTTTGAAATAGAATTATTGGTTGGATTGTTAGTCCTGTTTCCTTGTTTGTTTTAGATATTTGTTTAAGTTAACTGACATTATTTAACCCGATAAAATTATTATTTTTTTACTTTACTTCATTGTTACAAGGAAAAATAATAATATTTGAAAAAATGTCAAAGTCGGTATATAAAACATTTTATGGAGATTAGATATAAAAGTTGTTTTGCACTAAAACTGCTGTGTCTGGCACTGATACTGAAAGTATTCATTGTGCACAGCATCGTGATGCTCTGCTTTCTGCCTTTTGCAGTTAATGACAATTTCTTTAAATCACACTTGAACTAACCGTTCTACTTTCTCAAAGTGTCGGTTTCCTTTTACACCAATTCCTGTTTAATTGCTTTTCTGAGAAAAAACATTAAAGTTGTTCTAATTACAGATCAGTTAAGTCATATATTGTCCAAGTAGAAAGAAACTAGTTGGTTAGAAATTCTCAGCTTTCAGGAGAACTGGTAGTTACGTGTTGCATCACCCCTCCCGACACTGTCCACTAAATGTGTTTCATTGTTTATTGTTCTCTGAAGCATGCTAGGCCTGATGGGGGATTGAAATTGGATCAGGATGCATAATGCCCAGTTGGCAGTCAACAAAAGATTGGTTTGTGGAGTTCATTGGTATAGAGTGAGGGAATTGATTCGAACTTGCACAAAGCAGTAGCGATGTAAAGGTGATGCTCATTTAGACAATGTTGACCTGAGCAGTTGTTAACCTAAATACACCTTAACGTTGCACTAGACCGCATGATTCACTATGTTTTGTTATCATGTAACTCCTCTCCAGTGTTTCTTTTGCTTAGCTTGCTTGCTGAATGTGCTAAAAGCCTGAAATACCCAGGGCATGTATGTAGCTTTAACCTAAGTCACATTTGACTGAGCGCAGTTATCACTTGTCAACAAGCATCGTTTCTCCTCCGAGTTTTAGTTGCCATTCGTCTCCTCTTCTCTAAACTCACTAGATGAAAGTTTTTAATATATTCTAGTGTAGCCAAATTGAGGCTCACGAGAAGACGCATACTGTCCTTGTGTGCATGTTTGTTTTAGCATTTGTTTTCATTTTCTTTGGGTTTACTGCATCACCACAGTCTTGATCGCACTGGAAAAAGTTCCCAGTCAGAGGAAAGTATTTTGGACTTTGCAATAGTTAAAACTTGATGGAATTCATTTTACTCCAAGTAGATTAAAGCAAATACTCTGGCATTATTTGCAAATACCATGATGTAGCTCTGCCTTCAAATTCCCCTTGATTCTCATGGCTTTGGCAAAGCTGTGCCGAACAGCGCCGAGGATGATGACAGAGGTCTGTGCAACAGCTGATTAGAGAGGCCAACGGGACAGTAACATCCTTCGCAGTTGGAAATAAAAACTCATCAAGTCTTTTCTCTTGTCTCCTCTAAGTCCTCCTTCTTTTGCCCAAGCAATTCGTCTCGGCCAGTTTCCGACAGTCTTCATCTCATTGGAGCCGCTTTGATTGGCGGTGCTTCCCCCACACCTGTTGTAGTGAATGACGTCCAGTGGGACATCCTTATTGCATCCCCTCATCCGCTCACCCTTCCACCACGCCACCCCCTTCCTCCTGGCCTGTAATTGCTGACATTTATGCAGTGTTTCATGGTGTTTGCTAATGTATTAATGCCGAGGAGCCTCTGAGGTGCCTTGCCTTGTAGGGCAGCACCTCCCTCCATTTCCCAGCTGGCACTAAAGGAATCCTCCTCTACCTGATATGGGTCTCTGAAACCAAGGGTTTTATTGAAAAGGGCCTAGTTGTTTCCGTAGCAACAGGGCTCAGTGCTAAGCTCAGACACATTCCCTCTTCCTTTGCACAAATGGCCTCTTTCAGGTGACATTAAGAACTCCATCCTGATTTATAGACGCAAGTGTTTGTATCTTTGCATCAATTAATGTAAACAACTTAATTTATTCCAGTTGGGCAATTTTGATTTCAGCCTCACAGGTGTTAAAAAATTAAAAGGGAGAGAGAAGAAAAAGAACACAGAGCCCATTGCATTCAGTCAATGACAGGGTTGACGTCCGCCAGCTGCCTTTAGGATTCTGATGGCTAAAGGAATCGAGGCGTTTGAATATCTGTTTTTCTTGCTTGGTGGGGTGAGATGAGACCTACCTGATGGCATCAAACACAATTTTCTGCTCACAATATCATCTGGATTATCAATGATCTATGTCAGTTTTCAGTTCACTCTCCTTTTTGCCACAAGGAGCACACGTCAGTCTGCTAAACGCCAATGATTTTGAAACAAAAAAAAAACCTTATGATGCTATCAGGGTGGCGTTACATCTTCTAATTATCTTGACTATATTTAAAACATCCCTTCTACTCTCACCTACATTATTTTTCGCTTTTTGAATTTGTCCTCTTCCCCTTTCATCCTCGCCTTTTGCTGATCTTTCCTTGCTCTAACTGACCTGGTGAAGCAAGGTGGTTTACTGTGGTTGCGGTTGCCTCCAGTGCAGCTGTCATTGGTAATTATCTCACACTCACAGCCAGACACCTAATCCAAACACTGCCTACACTAGAAAAGACAAAATGAAACAGAGAGAATGGAGGGACAAAAGGAGGAGTAGAGAAGTGGTTGATGAAGTAAGAGGGACGGGAGGGTGTGGGGAAGGGAAAGAGAAAAATCTTTCCCTGTATCAGCCCATGAATGCTCAATGCAAGTGTTCATTAAAAGAATCCAAAAAAGAGGAGCCAGTTTCTTTTGTGTGGAGATGTTGGAGAAGGTCATTTTGGGGGGGGGGGCTCATCCACCATTCCCCACACACCCATGCCCTGCGGTGCTTCAAGCTTGTTTCCACATTTCACTGCTGAGCTGCCAAACTGCACTTGTGTACTTCAACACTGGTAGAAGCCATCAGGTCAAAGAGAGAGAAAGGACTGAAAGGGACTCGACTCATTTTTTCCTCTCTTTTCAGCTTGCCTCCTTGCATCAGTGTCAGCCCAAACCCTTCAGGCTGTCTTTGAGAGGGAAAGTGATCAACTTTATTTATACACTTATTAGGTCCTTAGACAAGAGCCTCTCATTGTGAATAGTGGGGTGTAAAGGCTTTACAGGGATGCTCTCAGGACTCTTCTCCTGTTTGATTGCTTCGCTAAGAAGGAAAAGACTTGGAGCTACTTGTTCACATCCCTAAGGCTCAGACCCTCTATGGTGTTCTTTGGCTTTGTACCTACGACCATCTGTGCTAATTCCATCTTCATTGACCATGGCTTTTCTTTTCCTCACTCTGACCTGATGCTTTGTCTTAATGAAATAAGCAAGCTTTGTCCAAACGTTTTAAATCTCAGCCCTTTGCTTAACGTTTTTTTTCCACAGTAAAAATATTTATTTATTTATTCATTTGTAATGCTCTGCTTTTGATTAATGGCATAAGCTGTTCTGAGTCGAGTTTCACGAACATTTTTTTCCGCCACCTTCACTTGTTCTTGAGGATATACCTTTATGGTTTTTGTGTTAAGGTGAACATTGTAAAGCCTTTAAAAAAAAGCAAA